AGGTTGCTAATAACAGCTGCCAGATGTGCAGAGTCCCGAGAGCCCATGCACATTCTCACAGACAATGGAATGCTTGTGAGGAGCCCCAACAGGAAGTGAGGTCAGGGCTTTCAACCCCTCCCCTAAAGGCTCAGTGTGAGACTCAGCAGTGGGGGCAGGTTTAGTGAAGTAAGCCCCTGAACGTGTGCCATAATAAACCTACCAAAAGCAAGAAGTCAGTCCATAAAGGCTTCCTGCTGCACGTCCATTAGCTCATTCGGCTTATTCCTTTGGGTTAGCAGAAAGCTTTCAGGATGCGTGTTAAACTGTTCAAGTTTGCTTTTAATCCCATTGTTAATACAGTAGTGCAAAGTCCATTTCTATGTTCTTGTCAAGTTTCTATTTTCTTGTAAAATCTCTTTAGATAAATCCAGTTGGAGTGGATTGTGCAATGTCTCCCTAAAAAAACCACTAGAGTTACATCTGTTTGTACGGTTTTGGTAAAACCCAAAGACTCATCTAGAAACCTGGTTCTGAAATCTGCTCCTTCCATGTTAAAGGGAGGCAGTCTGAGCGGTTTCCCATTCAGTCAACTCTGACGTCATTCACACACGACACGTCTGACTCGCAGCAAGAACCCAACGTGTGTAAATCTGAAGATGTTTTAAGAAATGCCATCTGTTTCCTGCCTGCAGCCGGATGGATGGTGGTTCATTTCATCTATTTCTCTGAAAGTTGGTCGGTCTGACACGTGACTTTTTCTTCCGCAAACAAAGTTCTTTCGTTTTTCATTTTCATTGTTGTAGATCTGGAAATACCCACAATTCTGAATAATAAAAGCACATTTCTGTAATCTTTGCGATTCTCATTGAAAACGGTTTTCTGCCACACAGAAAGAAGCCAGATGGCTTTGGATGTTTAGTAAGCGAGATAACACCTGCTATGATAACATTCTGAAGCTCTGTCTTTAAACAGACACATGACGTCATCGCCACTTGGGATGACTTGGGCATTCAGGAGAATGATTGTGAAGACATTACTACCTCCGTGGAGGTCGGATAAAGCGTCTTCCACCGAGACAACACCTGATGTTCCAGACACAGCCCTGATGACTAACCAGCTCTAACTCACCTTCACCTCACCCTCATTATAGAGCCTGGTGCTACAGAGGAAGCTCTGAGGGGCAAAATAATGGAGGCTTGATAATGTTACATTTTTATACTTTGAACAATAATTAGTCATTGACCTCTGCAATGTAAATTTACATTAGGTTTCATTTTTCAGCGTCAAGTTTCTAAAAATGACCTAAATCTTTTAAATTCGTTTCTGTACAACCTGAAAAACATTGACGTGACGTTCACGAACAATCACATTTTTTGAACGGCTCTTCTTTGAATGATGAGAACTGAATATTTGAATATTTGTAGAGAACAGCTCATTTTTTATTAACTAGGAGTGCATCATCCTCTACACATGCCTGCTTTGCAACAAATTCATTTTATGGCAAAAGCAAAACAAGTCACGGAGGGAAGATGATGCGAGAGTGGGGACACAGTGGGAGAGGGGTGGGTGGGATTCAACGGATGTTTGGAGAGGACCATAAATCCCATCACTAAAACATTCTGTTATTGAGAATGAATGCTGTAGTTGTAAGAAAATAAAAGCATGAGCACAATAAAAATATGTTACTGATGAGTTCAAAATGGTCTGATTTATTATTATTATTATATTATTATTATTATTATTATTATTATCAATTTGAATCAAAACTAAACATAATTTACACCACACGTTTTTGCAGTTTTACCAGCATATGACGTACTTTCTCTTGAATATTTACAAAGCTGGTTTGTCTAAAACTTTTTGATTTACCATTTAAAATTATGTAGAAATAAAATTAAGCTCTCTGTGTTAGGCAAAATAAACTAAAAACAAAAACAAATAAATTATTTGCTGTAAAAGTGACATTTTCCTGAGAGAGTAAACGTTAGCCCCCCTTGCTGGAACCTCTCGCTGTTTGCCACCTTAAACATTTTTCTCTAGATCCGCCCCTGCTATAAAATCACTGGAAAGAAAACAAAAACGCAGCTAACTAAAAGTAAAGCAACGCATTACAAGTAAAACATAAAAATTAAATAATTTAAAGCTAAATAACTAATGGACTTTAAACAAAACGTCACACCTACACACAAAAGTTATATTCCAGTCTCTGGCTGGAGTGGAGTGAGCTGGATGAGTCCTAAACCTGGAACCTGCTGCCAGGAGAACGGAAGTGAGGAGGTGGAACATCTGGACTTCATCTGTGTCCTGCATACAAATGAAAAACACCCAGAAATAGACCTCAGCGGCATTTTTCTAATTAATTTGTTGTAAAAAGAACAGAATGTTAAGAAAGAGAAGTTCTTCATGGAAGTCTGGTGTTTCCATACACCCCACACAGCTTCTAGTGTGTGTGTGTGTGTGTGTGTGTGTGTGTGTGCGTGCGTGCGTGTGTGTGTGTGTGTGTGTGTGTGCGTGCGTGCGTGCGTGCGTGTGTGTCAGAGAGCTGAGCCTATTGTGTGCCTGCCTCTCTGACGCTGTTGTTCACAGACAGGGAGCAGCGGGACAATCACACCGTCGGCTGAAAGGAAAGTGGGGTTTTACTTTTGCGTCCGTCTGGCCGGATTCGGTTCCTGTTCGCTTTTTTAAGGAGACCGGCGCCTTTGCGGTATCTGATGCGGCGCGTAAAGCGGGGATGGATTCACTGCTGACGAGACCAGACTCTCCGTCCAGACCTGCGGCTAAGTTTTGATTGTCACAGCGGATCGTTGGACGGACAGCGCTGAAAGTTTGGGAGTCCCGGTGAACACGTGAGGAGCGGGCTCGGGAGTGCTCTGCTGATCCGAACCTCTCATGGGGTAAGTTGTGCTCGGATATGTCAGCAGCATGCGCTTCAGTAGCCTAACAAAAGGATCTGCGCTTGTTCTGCAGAACGCATAGCTTATAAAACCCAATAACGTGTCTTCTAACCCATCAAACCAGACGCGAGTCTTTTTATTTTCTCTCTCGTCTTTCTTTGTTTGGAAGGTTTGGTTTGTCAGTCTTGTTGATGAATGACAGAAAATCCCACTCGTGTTTGAAACTTCTTGACATGCTCCAGTGAGTCAGAAAGCGTGAGAATGTCACCAAGATCTCCCCACACACCTGAGCTGCAGGGGCGCTGCTGCTGGGGTGGGGGTGGGGGTTAGACTCCATGAGACAGCTGTCTGTTAAACATTCAGGGTTTTATGAACAGCTCAGCGTGATGTTAATAATCTGCCTGCTGCATCATGTGTAGGAAATAGTAACCTATAGTTATTGTTTAGGACACACACACACACACACACACACACACACACACACAGTTCCTTAGAGCCATTGAACAGCCTGCTGTGCCCCCTCCCCTTTCCCCAAGCTATGACCCCTCCGATGTTGTTGAAGCTTGTTCATCCGTCACCCTAAAGAAGGCATTGTGTTGAAAGGATGTATTAATAAGACAAAAGCCACCATTATCCCCCTGTACAGGAGTTAATCTGGTGGAATTGGGCTCCTCAGTGCAAACACACACACACACACACACACACACACACACACACACTAAAACTTAACGGGTTAATTCGGCTAGATTGGGTCATTTTGGCTGAACATCGGGTCAGATTTAGGAATGCTCCGATTCTGATTCGTGTACGGCTCTGACCCACTGATGCTGATTCATCTCAAAGAAATAAAGTTGAAAGAATTTTTAAAATATCTGGTTAACTTAAAAGTGGTGCTTAGCTTGTGACCACCAGGCGTTTTCTCACCACCAGTAACCCAGGTCTGTTTTAAAACAACCCAAGGTGAGCAGGGACCACACCTCACCCTGTGGGTTATCTGAGTAGTCCAGTCTGAGTTGTTTTCACTATGCAGCCTTCGCTAATTCAACTATGTGTTTGCACGTTTTTGGTTTGCATACATTGCTCTGATATGAATCAGTTTAATTCAAACAAATTAGCTACGTTTGTGTTGTAGAATCATGTTTTAATGGGTTTTAGTTTCCTTTTCTCTACAGGCTAAATCATGTAGAGGAGGAAGCGTAGGTGTCAGCTCTCCAGATGTTTTCCTGGGAGAATCTTCAAGTCATGGTGTGATTAGTAGATAAGACAGAGGAACTGGTGTTTATTGCCCAGATAAAAGCCCCCATCCTTCATCCTCTACCCTCTATGCTCAGGCTGAATGGGCCTGCACAGTGTTGTGTTCATTAACGCTGTCTGAAACGGCCCAGACTTGTGATGCTGTCGTCCCGATTCCCAGCAGAGGGACTAAGACAAAAACATCAAAATGTGAGAGGATGCTGAAACGCTTGTTGCGTTAAAACCAGCAGACCTCTCCTGTGATAACATCTAGAAAAGGAGTAAAAAGGAAGCACAGCAGCGGAGTTTAGATAGGACTATCTAGCGTTGATGGGTCTGTCAACAGATCCGTCGGCGTTGGAGCTGTGCAAGGGCAGCTCACTTTGTTCTGGGTACACATGGCCGGGGACAGGACACGCAGCAGCCACCTGTCCGTCCGCTCTTCAGGTGACCGCGTGGGTCACTGGGTCTGAACAGCCACCCCCCACCAGGTCTGACTGCTGTCAGGCTTCTTCACCCCCTCCATCACCATTCTTTAGGTTTGGCACACGCAACCAGAGGGTGCTGAGAGCAGTTTCCACACGTTGGCCACAGCTCAGCACACGAGAAGCAGACATGTCGAACTAAAAGCTCCTCTATGGACTGCTAACGTCCTAAAGTGCAGAGATATTGACCCAGACCAGCAGCCCATTACCTCATAAGTTCAGTGTGTGTGTGTGTGCGTGCGCGCGCCTGCGTGCATGTGCGTGCGTGTGCGTGCGTGTGCTTGTTTGTGTGTGTGTTCAGCCCCATTTTCCTCCAGAACATGACTGCTGTAATTGGATCCTTCTCAATGGGGACATGAAGGGTGGGGGGGTGGGTGGGTGGGGGGGGGGGGTTAGCTTGAGAAATTAGGACAAACCGATGAGCTAAATAAACAAACTGATGTATAAGTGCTTAGATGGATAAATAAATGAATGGTATTTCAGTGGTGGGAACTAGATTTGTGGGACTTTTTTTAATGGAGCGGGTCACTGGGGGGATAGAGGAACGGGGAGTGTGTGGGTGGTGGCGATCCCTGAAGGATGCTCGCGTTTCAGTTGGGGGGCTTGAGAGCGGCTCATTTATAGGAAGCAGTAGAGGCTTCTCCTTGGGGAGGCCAGCTTTTTGACTGGGCGCTCCACTTTATTGAGTCAGATCAGAGGAGCCGTCAGCCACAGGCGCCCTGTCCGCACCTGGAACGACCAATGAGAGGTCAATACACTGATGCATACAGGATAGATGTCACGGGAGGTAACACAAGAGAAAACCTTTAGAATTGTTCTTTTGGGGGGGCGTATTCTAGTGGTCTTGGATGACCATCTGGGTCCGATTTGCTCCAAGTTCTAGCCGTTTCTCTGCAGAAAAACACTTTCCTTGGGTGTGGCAGCTGGAGCAAAATAAACGCCTTCTGTTCGCAGGCTGCTGAAGTGCAAGTCACAACACAGCTGACAGCATGCAGCCTTCTGAGTCACAGCCAGGAGCTGGGAGTGTCTCCGGTAGGAGGTATAAACGTGGCTGCCTTTGTTGTTGTTTTCCTCACGTTTTAAACACAACAGGGGAAAGGACGTGCTTGCTGCAGGCCGGGTAGTGGACCAGAAATGCACGGGTCGCTAGACGAGTGTGCCTTTCCCGTTTAAAACCACTTTTCTGAGCTATGAAAGTGCTGCGCTGATTATTACAATAACATTTATATAAACTGATATCTGGTGGGGGTGAAAAGGTGCTGGTGGCTGTTTAAGAAAGGTGGAGGATCCCATTAGCGTTTAAGCCTCCGCTTACATTCCTTTTCCACTTGAAGCATTTGGATAAACCATAAGACCCCCCATGATTAGGCACTGATGCTTGTAGCAGCATGCCAGGATTTCCTAATGCTCTCCAGGGAAAGGAGGATATCACCGTCCTCCTCCTCACATTTCAAACATGGCTCCGTACGAGTCCCAAGTAATGAAGAAGACGGTTTAATTTGACTGGCCGCCTTTTCCGTGTGCGACAAGAACGTTATTTGTCTTTCAGGGATGAAAACGACTAGGTTGAGTTTCTGGTTTGTGCTGTGGCTTTGGATGGGATCTGAGGCACTTTGCAACCACTGTTTAGGTTATGTAGAGATTTATGATCTGGATGGGAACAACTTCAAACTGTCTGCTGGAGCAGAAGGCTTAATCAGTGTGGTCATGTTGTGGCCGCCTGATTCTCGGTCATTTCCAGAGCTCGCTTGTGAGCAGGTACTTATAAAGATGCTGCTTTTTCAGAGCTTTTCTCTCGTCTTCCATGTTGGAAGTCTTTGTTTTCCAGTCAGCTTTGTTTGTGCAGCTGGAAAAGTCAACAGGATTACTTGGAAACCCCCGCCTCCTGAGACCCTGGAATATGCTGGAGACAGACTCGTTGGGTTTTGAAAAGCCTCGCGCGGCCAGTAAGGCGCTGCTGAAGCCATTTGTTTTATTTGAAACTTAAAGAGTTTACTCCGCCTCTCATCTTCATGAGCCTCCTTAGTCGTTAAGTCTTCTGAATGACTGACTGACTTTAAAAATACAACCAGATGATGGCAAGCTTTCTCACATACAGCCACTAAAGTACTTATGCTGGGATGGTCGCGTCTTTACATTTTAAAGGCCGGCAGACGCGATGACCTTAGCCAACGGTCACATCACGTGCCGAGTCATGATGGAGGCCAGACAGCTTACTTCAAACAGACGAGTTTAGTGGATGCTGTCAAAGTAAAAGACTTGTATTTCTTCCAAAGGTTGCACGCATTATCCACTAATGACCTTTGTGTCATTTTTGAAAAGCGGCTAAAAACAAGCCAGAACCAAACTTTTAACAAGGCACGGCACAACATTTTAACTTCCACTGTTTCTGTTGTTTTCCTCTCTAAAGTTTCAGAGTAACCCATCCTGGTTTTAAAATGGTTTGTAGTTACTACTAATTTCTTAACTAATAGATCTTAAAGTAATAAATGGACCCTTTTCTTTCTTTACCAGTCATCCATCCATCCATTATCGTACGCTTTCCGGGGTCGGGTCGCGGGGCAGCGGCCTAAGCCGAAAGGCTCAGACTTTCCTCTCCCAGCTACTTGGGCCAGCCACTCTGGGGAAATCCCAAGGTGTTCCCTGACCAGCCGAGAGACATTTGGGCCATTCCCACCTGTACCGGGTCGGCCCGGGCCGGGTAGCGTAGGTTGTTTACATATCTGGGTGGCCTGGTATTTTTCCGGGCCAACCAAGGCTCATTCTCAGCCCTCTTCTCGAGGGGGTCTGCTTCAGGCCGACCAGGGCCAACACACCCACTGCTGACAGCAAATTCACACCTTCCATTAGAGCAAGCCTCTGATTGGTGGGTAGAATCAGCCCACATGGGCTTAAGACAAGGATGTGTGGAATCAACTGGGCCAGGCTGGGGCCGACTGGGGCTACCCGGCCCGGGCCGACCCGGTACAGATGGGAATGGCCCAATTGTCCCTTCAGCATGTCCTGGGTCATCCCTTGGGTCTCCTTCCAGCTGGCATGCCTGGAAAACCTCACCAGGGAGGCATCCAGGAGGCATTCTGACCAGATGTCCGAGCCACCTCAACTGACTCCTCTCGATGTGGAGGAGCAGCGAATCTACTCCGAGCCCCTCCTGGATGACATAGCTTTTCATCTATCTCTAAGGGAGAGTCCACCACCCTGCGGAGAAAAAACATTTTGGCCGCTTGTATCCGCGAACTCGTTCTTTCGGTCACTACCTGTAGATGAGGGTAGGAACGTAGATGGGGCGGTGAATCGAGAGCTTTGCCTTCTGGCTCAGTTCTCTCTCCACCACAACAGATCGAGCTGTTTCGTTAATTTGAGTTTGCTAAATGAGTTTGAAGTCAGATAAATTTCTATTTTTTATTGCCAGTTAATTATTGATTGCACTTTTTACTGTGTGACTTGACTCAAGTTCTGTAAATTATTGTAATTTCAGTCGTCGACAATCCTGATTACTCTTGGAAACGTTATTTTTAACAATCTGCTGAAGTTTTTAGTCGTAGAAGCGGCAAACAATCCAAAGTTCTCTCCTGGCATCGTCGCGTCTTCTCAGTGAAGCGGGGGAATGTGAGTATAGGTGGAGCTCCTGAAACCGTTGAGACGAATAAAAAGGCTTAAAACTCGTTTATTAGACAAGATCTACCAGAAAGTGGTGGAAAGGTGAAGACCAGTCACAGATTCACTGTAAGTCAAATAAAAATAAACATTCTTCAATTCCTATAATAAAAAAAAATCAATGACACACGAGATGTCATCATATTCACGAATGAGAAACCTGAGTTATCGGGTTTTATTCTCTCTGAATCACACCTGCCAGTAAAAAAAAAAAAGAGAACCGTGTTACAAAGTGCAGATGTAATTTCTCTCCATCGACCCACGTCCGTTTGGGTTTGCCTGAGGTTGCTGCTAGACTTCTGTAACACGCACACCCTGTCAAGTTCTGATTATGTATGAGGTCTACATTTCTTCTTGTGGCAAACACGATTCTGCAAATATCCTCTTTTCATGCTGTTGAAACCTCGGCACAGTTTAGCCATACTAGATCAACTCCTCCTTGCTCTGGCAATGCCGTTTCACAGAATTGTGTTGATCAACTCTATTTAAAACATCCAAAACGTTTGTGTGGAGTTGAAACGTTTCAGAGTTTCCAGAGCAGCGAGCTGATTGCGCAGTAAGTGCTGTAATGACGTTTTTAATAGGAGGGTTGTAAGAACATCCGAATGTGTGCTAAATAAATCTGTCTTGATGTTCATTTAATCGCCTCTTTGGGGTCCCGTCTTTGATCTGTGCGGTGAAGTTTAACATATACGAGGCGAGGAGCGGGCGTTGGGACAGAGATGATGTGGCTCTGCAAATTAGGGATCAACGTGAGAGGAAAATATGCAAAACAGATCAAAATGAAAGCATGAATAATTTGGAAACGAGACTTAAGTCGACAGAAATGGTCCGGATTGATCGTAATACAGTAACTGCACCTCTGGAGTTCCCCCGCCCCCACGCCGTCAGCATAGGGGTAGAGGTGGGGAAAGGGGGTTATCGCCCCTCAGGCTATGTGATGCCCTTCTTTCTGCTGACCTTTGTTTTTATTTCTTCTCTGTGTCACTTTCAAAACCTCAAAACAGAAGAAGAGCTGCTGTTCTTACAGCTGCGCAGTCACAGGGACGCCGTGACCGGGGAAGCAGCAGAGCGGTCACAGTGAAACAAAGAGCATTAAAAGGGTTTTTGCTGCAGACGTAACCCAGATGACAGACTGCAACCTTCAGAAGAGTCTGTGCCCAAACTGTCAGTGTTTGACGAGCAAAAGGGTAATCCCTAATTATAAGATGAATCCCCCACCCCCTGTATTGGGGACACCCACTCCCCTCGTGTCTTTTAGTTTTAGTGAAGCTCGGATGTGCATAATGGCGGACAAAGACAATGGGTGTTTGTCAGTCAAGGTAAATGCCAAACACGACGCAGAAGCACAAGAAGGAACCATTTAATGTGCCAGATAAGGAGGAAGTGTTGTTTTACGTGTGAAAGGAGGCAGGGACGTTGGTAAAAAGTCATACTTCTCCATTCAAAGAAGGACGTGACTTCCATCGGTCTAGTTTAGCTCATTCCCAACCGTTCTCTGCTGTGTTTTCAAACACACTCTCGTGTTTTAGTTCCCCTCAGCTGAAAGGGATACAAGCATGTTTCATGTTTTGTTCTGCTTTGGCTCAAGTTAGCCTCTTCTAAATTACACTTCTCCCTATCATTTAGTTGATCTGACCTTTTCGCCTGCTTTACTCCTCCTTTATGGCCTTAAACAATCTTCCTCTTGTTTTTTTACATATGTGTGCAGTTTCTATGGAAGGAAATCAGAGGCAGAGTGTCAGAATGTCTGTCTACATCTGTTTCAAACCTGCTTCTTGAGACACCTTGGATTTTTTTTATGTTCACACTTAGAGGTGTGACTCCATTACAGCGCGTTGGTTCTGAAAAAATGCAGCTGTGGGTATGGTGACGTTTACTTTGTACGGTTTTAAAGAGGTGGCTGAATTTTGACCTAAAAGGTGCATGTGTGTTGTCTTTGTGGCGGCTTTGTCGTCCCTGCGCTCGGCGCTGACTTTCGCTGCAGCGTGTCCTTTAAACAGAGATAAGAGCGAAGCCGAGAGGTCGACTAAACAAGAGCTGTTCTGGGTTTTTTTTTTTTTTGCAGAACACACAACTGTGGCATGCCACGGTCATCTGAACGACCAGATTACTGTGCAGTCATGTCACAGCAGCAACGTGAGTCCACCGATACTGGAAACACGCGCGTGCTTTCCTAGTAACTGCCTGTGACTAATCAATAGAAATGCTGTGATTATGTAAAAAGGCACAACACACAGACGCCTGCGGCTCAGTGTTGGATAACACAACAGGAAGATGTTGCAGACACACGCTGGTGGAACTACTTTCTCCCACTGTTTTCTAGTTGGACTGTGTGATTGGATGGAGCTGTTCAAAGTGAGCAAAAACCGAGGGGCTTGTGTGCGTGTGTGTGTGTGTGCGTGCGTGCGTGCACTGGCTCGTGACGGCTCACAGGAATGCTGACCTCATACAGTAAGGACAAGGACGAATGTATCATTAATCACAGATGAGGGACAGAGAACGGATGCAGAGAGGTAGGGCCTGCGTCTGTCGATTCAGTCACTTCCTGTGAAATTTTGCGAGGGCTGTGGTTAAACTCTGCGGTGGTTGTTGTGTTTGTCTCTTTGATTCAGACGTGTCAACACGATGACGGAACTTTTCTGACTACAGGGACATGGAGTTGCACTTCCAGGAGACTCGGTTCCATTTTGCTCTGCAGTCATATTTTTGCATATTTTCCATTTTGGATGAAATTTACAAAAATTGCACAGAGAAACAGAGCAGAGAGTTTTCCGGGTCATTTGAGAGGCAACCGAAGGAAAGCAGATGTCCACAAACTTAATTTACCACATCTTCATGCTTTCCAACGGATAAGATAAATATTTAAATTAATAGATGAGCAGGAAATGACACACCAGCGCAGTGGATGGGTTCATAATGGATAGCCTCAGTGTTTATTAAACAAAAGACAGATTAGGTTTCCTTTAGGGAATAGAAGCTGAATGTCTGATCGCGTGCACACAGGAAGTCATTAAATCTCCTAAAGAGAGATAAACAGGTTAACGTCTCTAATCTCAACAATAGGAGCTGTCATTTTGGAGTCTGATTTAACTTTTCAGTGTATTTTCTAACGACCAGAAGCTGGATTGGTGTTTGTTGCCATAACAGAGAGGGCGGGGGAGCAGATTACATAAAATATAGTGAAAGACTTTCCAGCTGTATGTAAACATTTACATCCAAACAAGATAAAACTGTATGAATTCAGCTACGTCTCTCATCTGAAACTGTTGTTGGAAATCACAGGTGGAGATGGGACAATGCAAGCTGAGGTCATGATTTGGAGCTTTCCACCCAAAGAAAGTGGAGCCAGTATTGGTTGGCAGTTAATTGGGTGGTGTTGCCTTGGTCTTTGGTGGGCAGACACTCTGCTAATTGGGGCTTATCAGGTGTTTCTGGGAAAATACCTGAGGCTTTTGTGCAGCTTTTCATCTCACAATGCACTAGGAGGGTCCGTCTCTGGTTTGGATTCAAGACGGCAGCTTTTTGCACGAGATGCGTGCAACACACACCATCTCTGATCACCGACCAAATGATCCAGTCTGTGCGTGTGTTTGTGAAGTGGGGGGTTTTGAAAAGGTGTTAAAATATAGAGGCATGTGAAAACACCTCTCAAGATGTCTCGGGCTTCCTTCAGATGATGTGAACGTTGTGTGTGTGTGTGTTTAGGAGGATATCCTGTCTGTTTCTATCAGTTCTTTGACTTCCTTTAACATTGTACCTCAATTTGACTCTTGTCCTCACTGCTTTTATCACCGCTCATAAACTTGTTAGTGCATTGCTGTGAAATTCAGACAGGATATTGAGCCCTTTTGCTGAAGCCTTCTTCCACTCTCCTCCACATCTCAGCACACAAGGTACCAACGACACGGCGTTTTTGCCGAGTATCGCAGATCCGAAACGTGTTTTCTCTGCATCTTATTTCGCTCTGAAACAACTGCAGTGTGCCTAAATAAAAACAACTTAAACACTTACCATGGAATATGATTTTATACAAGTTATTGTGTGTTCATGTAAAGTGAAATTATGCATTTAAGCAAGAGTAACTTCAGTGTGTGAGTTTCTTCAGCATATTTGCTTTTTCCTGTTCCCGTTAGCCTGCATTAGGAAGAGCCTGCAGCACTTTGACGATGTGCTCTGTCCACAGTGGACGCGTGACAGATGTGTCGTGGTTGAATTCAGGGCAGCATCTGAACCAAAAGTCGTGTGAGAGTTGGTGTGCGGGGGTCGCTTTGCAGAAAGTTTGCACTGCAGCTGACCAATCACTGAGGAAAGCTGTGAAAAGCACATGGCAGGTAGAAGGGCTGGGCCGCTATGAGACATTGTTGCAGGAAAACCAGCCTTTCAGGTTTCCCACATGCAGCAAAATCTCTTAGTGATAGACGCCAAATGACTCCTTGGTGACACGAGGACCTCGAGTTGTCCACACGGCAGACAGAAAGTAAGCTGTCTGGCGCTAAAATAAATGGATGAAACAAAGGAAGGTCTGTGGTTTCTCTTAGCAGATGGAAGATTGCGAAGATGTGGAGATTTTCCATGAGTAAAGTCATTATGCTTCAATAATGTAAGCTAATGCTATCACCCCAGTGCAGCTCTCACATGTGCTCAAGCTCAAGCCTCCGATTTGGGTCTATTAATGGATCTAAAAAGGACGAAGAGAAGCCGGGCACCCTGAGATGGCAGTTTGATAAGGGAGTGCTCAGCCGTAACGTTATTTCAGCTATGATACAGTCGCAGCAGCCAAATGGACGCGTGCCACCTCATTATTAAGACTGAAGGCCATTGCTGTCTACGTTGAAGGAGACTGTTGTTGGCTGTTCCTGCTTGAGGAAACAGTGCACTTGTTCTTATGGGCCTGCAGCAGCTGCGTGCTCAACCTGTGTGTGTGTGTGTGTGCATGCGTGTGTGTGTGAGGCTTTATTACTTTAGCTTCACCACAGCTCTCTGCAGGAAGAAGTGTCATTCTCTGTGTGCACAGAGGTTTGTGGTGAGTGTTGTCTCAGATTCCTGCTCTTGAGTCCAGATGCCGTTCCACATGCCTGATCGCTGTCTGCCTTTGTTTCATTCCTACGTTATCTTTTAGCCTCTCAGGTTCTGAAGCAAAGCCCAGAGGAACGGCGAGGAGGCCCAGGTCCAGTTTCCGTTCATTTATTTAGCCGAGGCTCGTCGGAGTCGTTCAGGCTAGCTAGAAAAACAGCCAGTAGGAGCATCGTTCTTGAATTACCTTGAGAGCTGATTTGCAGAGGCGTCATGTTACTTTTGACAAGTTTAGGACACCAGCTTCACCTCTAATGAGATTACCAGAACCTTCAGTTCTGCTCGGTGCTGCAGCGCCCCTCCTCTTACATCAACACAGACAACTGAACTTTGTATTTAGAATGATAATTCTGAGCGTTAATCTCAAAGTTTTCCACCTCAGTTCTTCTTTACTGATTAAAGTTTTAATCAAAAACATGCGTGGACCGTTTCTGCTCACTACATAAAACAGTGAGTTGCAGCATTACTGTACGCCCAATCAAGTCGTAACAGGCTTTGTTTCTTTCATTTCTGAAGCCCCCGCTGCTTCCTCTCAGGTGTCCGCTTGATTTGCTCTTGGCTTTTCTCATTTAGCTTGGAAGTGGGTGGTTGGGCAGGTCAGGGCGAAAAGACTTGGCTGATCAACAAGCTACGCTGAAGTTTCAAGAAGCAGCTCACTGGAGTGGAATGGTTTTCTCCTCACAACAATGTGATGTGTTGATAGCCGGGTGCTCGGACAGGGTCGGTGGAATGTCCCCTTCGGACTGGGACTGCAGCCTTTTGTCTTGCGGCTTACAGAGACTTCTTTCTTTTACCTGGAGATGACGTCTGTCTGTGCAGGTTCACCGTTCAAAAAGGGGAATAACTTTGCATTTAATCCCTCAGCTATGCAAATTCACATCATTCTTGGGAGCGCTTTTCTGATGGCGTACAACGGATGTGTGGGTTTTCCGTTAGGGATGTGATTAATGAGCAGCAGCGTGTTGTTTGTGTGAGTTTTTGTCTTGATTAAAACCACATTATAGCTCTGTTTTATTCTGTTGAGTGTCGTCTGTCTGTTTCTAAGCTGTTTATTGACGTTAACCGAGGCCTTTCCTCTCTTTCTGATGCAGGTGACCCGCCCATCCCTCCAGAGACGTGACTGTGGGACGGGCAGTCTCCCTCGCAGTCCATTCGCTGTCCTTTCCATGAAGACATCTGTTAATGGCATAGACGCTTGGCACAACCACACAGCAAAAATGACTCTTTGCTGTAAAGGCAATGGGCTGCACCACAAGTATTCCCAGTACTACAACACAAGTTTGATCAGATGCCACTATTCTAATTCTAAAAACGTGACCATTGAAGACCTAATACAACGCATCGAGAAGAAGGAACAATACAGCGGTCTCAATATTGTCATCATTGTCCTCTGCGTTATTATAATCCTTGAGAATCTTTTAGTCCTGATCGCAGTCTGGCGCAACAAGAAGTTCCACTCAGCCATGTTCTTCTTCATCGGCAACCTGGCGTTTTCGGACTTGCTGGCTGGTTCTGCCTACATAGCCAACATAATCCTGTCGGGGCCAATGACTATTACACTGACCCCTGTGCAGTGGTTCATCAGAGAAGGCACAGCGTTCATCGCCCTGGCTGCTTCGGTCTTCAGCTTGTTGGCCATTGCGATAGAGCGCTACATTGCCATCACCAAGGTTAAGGTGTACGGCTCCACCAAAACGTGTCGCATGTTCCTCTTGATAGGAGCTTGTTGGGTCACCTCCGTTCTGATCGGAGGACTTCCCATCATCGGCTGGAGCTGCATCTGCAACCTCCCCGACTGCTCGGCCGTGCTGCCGCTCTACTCCAAGAAATACATTGTCTTTGTTGTCACCATCTTCACCCTCATACTGTTTTCTATCGTCATCCTCTACGTGAAGATCTATTTGAATGTAAGTTCAAGCCACCGGGAGGCAACTAACTCACAAGCATACGCACTTTTGAAAACTGTCACAATAGTGCTGGGTGTCTTCATCATGTGCTGGCTGCCTGCCTTCACCATCCTCCTCCTGGATTCATCCTGCAGCATGCAGCAATGCCCTATCCTCGACAAAGCAAGCATGTTTTTCAGCTTTGCCACCCTAAACTCCGCGCTTAACCCGGTGATCTACATGCTGCGCAGCAAGGAGATGAGACGGGAGTTCCTGCGCGTGCTGTGCTGCTGGGGGGTGCTGCAAAGCGGGCGACCTTCGGAGCGCTGCTGGGTCCCTCTGAAGAGCTCCAGCTCGTTGGAACACTGCACCAACAAAAACGAACATCAGACCACGCCATCGGCATTAATATACTCCACGCCCATCATGAAGACTTGTAACACCTGTGTCTAGCATGGTGCGTGCCCGGGTATTTAAGCATTTGAGATCAAGCGGAGGGGCCGCCAGGAGCCGGACAGACGTCCGTCGGGACAAAAGCACTCGTTTCTTCCATTGCAGTCAAAATTGTGGGACTTTTCAATCAGCGTTCCGTTGATCCACGGTTCAGTTGTTAAACATGTGAAAACAGAACAATGTATTAGTTTAGTGGGTGAAAAACATTAATGTGAAAAAAGCTTTCTTTTAGGTACTATGGAGCAAACCACCGTCGTGTTTATGCCTACTATATTTTATTCTTTTTATCTAAGCGTGTAAAACCCACAATCAAAACCAAAAAAGCAAAAACACAACATGTTTGACATCTTAGGTTGTGTGGATGTTTCTTCAGCTGTTTCAATGCAAAGTTTGCAAAATTGCACTTTGTACATTTCTATAGAGAAAGTTTTGTTTAACGTTTAACAACACCACTCTCACTTCCGGTGACTGGTGTGTACATCAGGCCACTCAGGCAGTCATTTGTATTAATGAGCACTCTACAGAAGCCAAATTACAGAGCGGGCTATGTATTCCCCATATAACCTTGCTTGACACCAGTTAAATTAATCACAACAAAAGTGCATAATCCGCTTCATTTAATGCATGAGATCTAACGCATTTGTAGCTCTAACGTGTTTGATATTTATTCCAGCTCAAGCTTCTCGTACTAACGACTCTCCTCCTGTTTGGCTGTTCTGATCCATCTCTCTCACCGTCACTGTTGTCTTTAATACCTAAATAGTTCCCGTGGAGGGAGGCCGAATCAGAAAAGTGAGTTGGCACTCATGAAACTGACTCCGTCACACCCTCCATCAATGAGACCGATGTCCACCAGTGTTGTAGCAGCAGTGTGCCAACTTCTGTTTATGACTTCCTTTTGGGGGTAAAAAAAAAAAAGGCTGAATGTATGAATGAAGTGTTTGGGACACACGCTCCCTAATAGACAGTATTACTGATCACCATTTTGATTCACAACCAAGTCACTGACGATCTGAGGGTGGGTAAAACGGGGTTGGACACCTCCACTGTGAACCTTTTACAGCATCGAGAACAAGAATTAATCATGACCAACCTAGTTCATTTTGCTTGCCAGCAGCTTTTCCTACTAGAAGCGTAAACAAATCTGATCTTTCCATAGGAGGCATCTTCAAAGTAGAAGAATCAGTTTCAAGTGCATGGGGGGAGGGGGGGGGGGGGGGGGCTGCAATCCTGGGACAACAGTGTCTTGGATCGTTGACATCCTTCAGCATGTAACTTCCTTCTGGAAATCCTGTTATTTTATTGTCCGGTTCCTGTTGTTCAGGGTTACACTAACGTTCTTCCTGTAGACAGTTAAAACTCCGTTAGTCTCGCAATATTGACTTTTACATTTAGACAGCCAAGTAGAAATGGTGAAAAAGCACTTTGGCAGCTTCAGTGATGTTTGCTTCCCCAGCCGATGTCTCCCCTTTGGGCGGAAAGGCGTTTCTGTATCTGTGACTCCATTATGTGTCAGTGACTTTTTTTTAATGACCAAGATATGAAAAAACGTGTTTGTACAGTATGTATTTGACGTTGTATGAATTGTACTGTGTGCAATAGCTTTGTGTGTCTTGTAGCACGCTGCCTGTGTTAAATTGGTACAATCCTAAACACTAATTGAGGTACATAAACATTTTGTTAACAGCATTCCATTTTTGTAAAATAAATTAAATATTGGGAAAAGAGCGTGTTTATGGTTGATTTTAAGCTTTGGCTAAAAAGGGTGCAGCTGTATCTCCTCTGCAGGTTCAGAGATGTCCTGTTTTGTACTGAGCTCTGCTAAGTACTTATAGGAAAAGCAAAACAGCATTAAATCCAAACTTGCTCTGACAAGGTCAGGGAAACACTGGCTTCAACATGAAAGCTTGAAATTGAGCATGCAGATTACATATGGGTATTAATCATGGCTTTCTTGCCAAATAAAAATGATTCCTTTGCTTGAAGGCTACAGCAAGACTGGGCAATGGAGGGAAGTTGGGCAAAGAGACACGAGGGTGAAACCAGGGTGTGGTGAAGAAAGCTGCCTGTTTGGGAGATTTGTCAAGAGGGATAGAAAAAGGCCCCCTAGAGGCATTTTTAGGTGGTGGAGAAACTTTGGTTGTAGGGGGACTGCTTTATAGTGGCCTTGAGAGAGTTGGGCCTGCTTCCTGTCAGACGTCCAGAATTCCTGGGTGGGAACATCAGCTGAAGAAGTCCCAGGAGGCTGTGCTGTTGGGAATGCTGCCAAGTCCTTCCAGTGCCCTCTGTGATATTACACTCATGGATCTATATAAGTGAGCTTTTACACACACACACACATCAAGAAGACTCAGAATTTATCACGTATAAAAGGAAAGTTAAAGAATTTTGCAACAAATTTCAATATTGACATGGGGTGTTTAAGTAATCCCCCATAAAAATGTAACTCATAGACGCACAACTGCTAAATAAGGTAAATGTGAATATAGGAGGTTTGAATGACCTTCAAAGGGCTGTTTTACTTCACCGCTACTTTAAATGTTCACAAGGATCTCTGAGTATTTGGAAACCAGTTATACTGAAATTAGGTCTGGAACAACATAAGAAAATAGAAGCTTTTAATGTATAATCTAACATAATGAGGGGAAATAAAGCTTCTCACTTCATGCTAGTGATAAAATGGTGCCATCTTGTGGCCAAATGAGCAAAATGTAAAGAACTGTTATCTGTGTGCTGTACATCTCTGGTTCCCAACTCAACCTAGGGTCCAGGATTCCCCAGAGGGTCTCCACAAGATTGCAGGAGGTACACACAACCCTGTCTGTGCTGATGTTGTTGGGTTACAATGATTATATTTGTAAAAATTCCATTTTTAAAATCCCAACACAATCAAAAGTATAATCAAAAGCATGCGTACGAGTTACAGCACCGCATGTCCGCATAGAGTTTGTAATTAATCATTTTTGATGTGTGTTTGTGGGTAGGAGATGGGGTTGGGGGGGTCCTGCTTGTTTTTGACACAGGTAAGGGGGTCCTCGTGGAAAAGGGGTGGGGACCACTGCTGTAAATGCAATGTTTGCCTCCTTACAGATTTCAGAGCAGCAAGGACAAAAGTTCAAATGACCAAAAAGAACACAGAGATCCACCTCACAAGCTAGCTGTCAGGGTGGCACTGGTCTACCCTGGACCCTCCCTAAATCTGTACCTGTGGCGGCCTGTGTAGACACTGTTGCTGTTTTATTGTCTAATGGTGGGGATCGATGCTCTATGTTTGATGATCCCTAGACTTTTGGAGCAATATTCTGTGACAATATGGGGACTTTTTGAAATCTTTCTTTCTGGATTATACTTAAAAGTACAATAAATAAAAACTTTCAAGCAAAATAATCACAAAACAGTCTAATGTCTCAATCATGATGGAAGGAAGGTTCCAACGTGATTGTATTAAGTCCTGAAACAGATTTCCTTCTCAGCTGGCTGGGCGGAGGCCAGTTTTTCTCCTTTTCAAAAAGCCAAAGAGGGACATAGTCATTGTTTACAATCTGTGAGCCCACAAGGTCGCTAAGTCTGTGCCGGCAAATGCTACTCACAGTAGCAGCTGCGCTGGTATTTGGCCAGGCCAGCAAAAAGCAGCAGTGAACCAAAGCCAGTAAAAGTAGCAGCCCAGAAGTCCTTGTACCCGTAAGAAGCCACAGCTTCATTTGTGTTTATCTCAAGCCCCCATAGTTCTGCAGCAGATATGAAGCCAAAATAGAAGTGGCAAAAACTGCAGTTCCACCCTCATCCGCTAGGGTCTGGCAGCAGAAGTGAGCAGATCTTCATTGACTCCCATGTTAAAAATGCCCATTTCACAGCAAAAATAAACATGTTTACAGCCTGGCTCAAAAAACCATTTAAGCCATTTCGACTCGCTGAACTTTACTCAACTCAACTCAAAGCTTTATTTATAAAGCGCCTTCCGTGACCCTATCAGGGAGCCCAAGGCGCTGTTCACAGTGCATAAGAAATGTAAATCACAATGAATAAACTGATAATAAAAGCAATTAAAATAGTGCAAAGAGGGTTAAAGCATTGAAGTAGAAACAAATGGATGAAACAAGGGATAAAGTGACCAATAAAAACAGGAAATAAAATCAACATAAAAGAGGGCCAACCTCAAACACATTCAGGGAACGCCAAGCAGAAGAAGTGGGTTTTCAGGAGACTCAAAAACCGGCAGAGATGGGGACAGCGTAACTGAGGGTGGCAACTGGTTCCAGAGTGACGGAGCCACTCTGGAAATAAGCGCGTTCTTGGTATCAAAATGTGTCTTTGAAAATCATGGACATCATGTGTGAAATCCATGGCACAAAACAAGCGGAGTTAGAAAATAGCGTTTTTAGTCCCGTTGACTTGCATTCATTTTTTTGTTCTTCCGGAGACCCGTGGTGCGGAAGTGACTTAGGCTTCGTATGGACACGAATTGACCAGTATATATGTCGATGGTTTTACTCTAATAACTGTCATGGTCTGCGTCAGCCCCCTTCCTTTATGTGCCTCCTGGTGTCCTCCATCCCTCTCTAGATTCCCTCTTGTGTCCCTTTGTTCCCCCAGCTCCCCTTGTGCTCTCTTAGCGCCCTCATGTGTCCTTGTCTGCATCCCTGTTATGTGTCTTATGTTGTAGCCCTTTGGCGCCCTCTTGTGTCCTTTTTCTGTGTCAGTTTCTGTGTGTCAGTCTAGTGTCTGATGTTATCTTTTACTGTTTCCTCCCAGGTCAGCTCCAGCCTCGTTGTCCCCAGCTCAGTGTGTGTGTATGTACCATGTCCTCCTCCAGCTAGTTTGTGTGAGTCCTTCCCTCTGTCTTTAGGAAATTGTTGTTTAGTTTTGTGTTAAGGTATTTGCCATCCTCTGTTTCTGTTTTCCCCATTGAGTTGATTAGTGTCACCTGCCTTCCCTCCAGCAGCTCACCCCACACACCTGCTTCCTGTTTCCCTGATTGCTCCTCCCAGTGTATTTAAGCCCTGTCTGTCTCTGTGTTCTTGTCGGTCCATTGTTGCTTGTCAGCGTTATTAGTCCTGTCAGTCTGCTCGTTCCTCTGGTGTTTTTTGACTCCCTGGATTCTTGGATTTTGGCTCCCTCCCTGTTCTTGGATTTATTCTTTATTTTGGACACATCCTACAATAAAAGGATTTTCTTTATTTCAATTCCTGCCTCGTGTCATCCTGGGTTTTGCAATTTGGGTCCTACTCTCCTAAAAATGACAATATCGTGTAAAGGAGGCTAGAGGCTAACACTGAGCTAACACTGTTACGGTGAATTGGAAACAAATAGTCAGCTCTAAGAATATCTCCAGCTACATCTTCAGTTAAAAACTATTACAGTGAAACGTATTTATTGAATTACAAACTTACTGTCCATAACATGTATTCATTGTTATCTAGAGTATTCTGGTGTTGATCCGTATGTCGTGGCTTGAGGTGTGGCTCCTGGGAGCGGGCCAGTTGGAGATCATCACCTCACCATGGCCACGGTTTAAAAGGAAGATGGAGACACCGACACAACGCCAGATGATTACTCGCCTTGGATAGATCTCGCCAGCTTAGAACATCGTTATAGACCGTTTGTTGCCTGTTGTGTTTTGTGTTCTGACCTGCCGTCTCCTCTACTATACAAACTAGCCTCGTCACCACCTCCACACCATACTCCCACAGGACCATCTGAGCCGCGTCTCCTTCTTCTCCCTAACTGACCCGCTCTCACTTCTCACCTCTCCCATCTTGGACTTGCTCCCTCGGCCTGCAACTCTCCCCCGAGACTCCCGGCTTCCCGTCACAGTAAGACCACACCACCTCCGCACCTCCTCTTCCCCTGTCCGAAAACCGTTCCCTAACCCTGTCTCCTGTCTTACAGTCTCGGGCCTGGACTTCAGTTTACTCACCACCGTCTGTGGTGCACCCTGAGTTTTATCATTTTTTCTAATAAATATTGTTTATTCTCTTGACTTGCCCTCCTGATTCTGCATGTCTTGGGTTAGAAAACTCTCTCAGAACATGCAGTATTGCAGTTTTTTAACTACAACTGTTTTAGTGTGGTCCAGATGCTAAAAATGCATAAATCTGGCTTTATTGAAGTTTCACAAATCAGAAAACAGTTTCACAAATCCCAGTGGTGGTTTTAATTGTTCTGCTAGTAGTGCAGACTAACCTAGTCCAGGTTTGAAGAGTGTAGGTGTTTTGCACAGGACCAGTTCCAATGAAGTGTAGATGCTAAAAAATGCATACATCTGGCTTTTTGAAGTTTCACAAATCAGAAAAAGGTTTCAGAGATCACAAACTATATTTCACATAACCTGCTATTAGTCTAGAATGATCTAGTACAGGTTTGAAGAGTGTGGGTGTTGTAGTTTTTGAGCTAGAGCATAACTATTCTGTCCTCTTTAGCAACAAACCAGTTTCTGTTAGTTTTACAAAATAACTTGTAAATCGTCAAATATGAGCTTGTAATGAATCTTGTTGCATTTTATCACACTGTTAGACTGACTTTATATCTGTTGGCTCAAAGCATTAAGGTTATCTTAATTATTAGGCCATCTTATGTCTTCACTTTAATAGGTTTAGGCTGTTTACAAGAGCAAATCTCTCATCATCTGATGTGTCTCATTTAATTGAAATTTAATTCAAAGCTGATTATGATTTTTTTTCCCAGCATTTTCATTATTCTAGAATAGAAACAGACAAGTAGCAAACAGCTGGGCAGTTTTATTATATTTCATACCCAGGTAAGGCACACACATGTTTATCCTATAATAATGTTAATAAGATAACCTCAAAGCTTGAGAGCCAACAGTGTGATAAATATATTTATTAATAGCTCACACTTTACATTTTTCAGTTAAAAAAGCATAAAAATACTTAGCAAAACAGAACAGAATGGGATAAGTTCGCATTTTCTTTACAAAACTCTTTAGGATTTGGGAGTCTGCACTTAGTAGGGAAGGGAAGACGGTTTTCTTCTAATGAAATAGCCAAGCCCCCACAATGCGGGTGAAAAATAGAGGCCAACGTGGAAGTGACAAAAATTGCAGTTCCACCCTCATCCGCTGGGGGCTGGCGTCAGAAGCAAGCAAATCCTCATTGACTCCCATGTTAAAAATACCAATTTCACAGCAGAAATAAACATGTTTACAGCCTGGTACCAAAACATGTTTTTTGTTTAAATGATCTAGTTTACACTCATGACAACTCTGGGGGGGGGGGGGGGGGGGGATTTTTTTTCTCACTCTTCTGTTTAAGTGTATTAAAAGCCTAAAATTCTGTATAATTAATGAGCATCAGACCCACGTGACCGCAGAGCTAGCTCCGTGGAAAGGCCTCAGTAGAGCCTCGGTCTGGCTTGGAAACTGCTCCGGGATTTTGAGTCTCTGTGTTTGTGTATTTTTTTTTCGGATATTTTTTGTGCAATTGTTGGACAAAATGACTTGCTGTGGCATTAATTGCACTAATAGAGCATCCAAGGAGTCTCCACTTCATTTTTTTCGGTAAGTAAAATTATATTCATGTATTTTAGGTCACTGCCGAGCTGAGCTTAGATTTTAACATGTACTGTTTAACCATGAAATTTAAATGTAATAGGGTAAACCCCAGTGCATTTAACATAATGCTGGACTTTAGAAAATGGGTTGAAATATAACATGTTGGTGGAGCTGGGTTCCGACTATCGGCTTGTGGAGCTCTCGGGAGACCGATGTTTTCCACCCGTTCTCTCCTCCCCGCAGCTCGGCGCATCTCTGTCTGATCGCGGCTCCTGACTGCTATGCGGGCTGCCGGCTTGTGGAGCTCTGGGATGGAAACCTTTCCACCCGGTTCTCCCCAGCGGCAGCTCTGTGCATCTCAGATCGCAGCAGCGCTTGTCTGCTGTGCGGCTGCCGGCTTGTGGAGCTCTCGGGAGACCTCTGTGTTCCACCCGGTTTTACCCAGCGGTCAGCCCGGCGTATCTCTGACTCAGAAGCTCTGGTGCTGTGCACAGTTAACTCCGGTTGTAGCTAGGTTGCTACCTCTGTTAGCTTAGCTCCCACCTCCGCGTTAGCTTTGGGTTAACTTGTAGCTAGTTAGACCGGGTGTCGTCAGTAGATCCCAGCCTTACAGCCCCACCCTCAGCGCCACCTCTCTTCCCTTTTGTGGAATTGTCTGGGCTTGATGGAACCTGTGACACAGTCAAAATGGTGGTGGTGGCCACCTCCCATTTATCTTCAAAAACGTGTTATTGGAGCATATGGAAACCCAATGTCCAATATTTATATGTCGATGGAAATAGCCAATCGTAGTAGAGCCCTTCTTGCTAATCAGAGGCGAGAAAGGAGCCATCTTCTTTGACATCCTATGATATCACATGACACGCCCTGGACACATACATGTTTGACAGCTATCCTAGTAACAATCTAATATATAAATTACAGTTAGAGGCTTATTGGTTTCAAACAGATGTCGGATACAGCTAGTTACATCAAAACGGTGTCATGCCTCATGCAGCTTAAACTCAGCGGCAATAATATGTCTTGCTGTTTTTGCTCATTATTAAACACTTCCGCCTGGTCAATAGACTCTAACATGTGTGAAACAATAGGGGAAGATCCGGTTGATTTATCAAGAACCAAAAAACGTAAACATTTTGAATAATATCAAACTAATGCCCTAAACATGCTTAAAAATCGTTTTATTGTTATAAAATGTGTTTTTGTGTAAAACCATGAATGCAAAGAAGAAATTACAAACGCAGAACGGAAACTGCTTTACCTATAGACAGCCGTAGTGGTACAGTCCACAACACCCGGGTTTCCGCGCGAAAAGACGGCCTGCGCGCGCTCGAACTGCTTGTAGCATCCGCTTGAAGAAGCGCCACTCGACTGGTAGTCATCTCTGAGTATTGCTGGGGCGATTGACGGCGGCCTAACGCGTTGTTTTATATCAGTTTTTATTGCCCGTGTCATCTGCTTCTGCTTTTAGTTAGCTGGTCAACATGCCATCCAGAACGTCCCTGTCTCTGCCAGACGATGTCAGGAAAAGGTTGGTAACCTCGGTGCTAATACAGTCATAATGCAGCCAGTTAGTAAGTCACAACCACGGCGTTCAGAGCGTATGTCTTAAATGCTACTCGTTGTTTCTCATGCTCGTAGTGAGCATCCCCACAACTTTGTTTGCATTAGCCGCTTCAGCTAGCGTTAGCTTGCTGCCTCTTATCAGTTTGGTTAATAGTCCATCGTCAGTAACCTGCTACTAGCATCATTAGCCTGGAAATGGATGAGCAGCGAGGGAGTTTTTGGCGCCACGTAGGAAGTTTTGTTTCCTAACTCTGGTTGCTGTGCTGAACGTTCTGCTACAGTTTCCAGACAACGTGACTCTCCGTAAGCCGCTGTTGTTTTGATGTGTTTGTAGGTTGGAGCTGCTGGATGAGGATGGATGCTCAGAAGAGGCGAGTGAAGTGTGCACCCTCACTACTAGAAAACCCGATCAATAATTACGGGAAATGAAAGTTGCTTTGTATGTGTAAAGATCAATAACTACACTTTATATAGTGGCTCTTAAAGAATGCATCACTCGTTGGTTTTATTTTAGTTGTGAGATATGAAATGTGTTTGATAGCAAATATAAATAGCAGAGCTTCCAAAAATGTTCATCACTCCCCAAAATATCATTTGGCACGCATAAAATTCTCATTTCAAATATGACAAAAACGAATCCCTAGGAAATTTTGCCATTGACAAAGAAGATTAAGAAAGTTACTGTCTCACATTTTAATTCACCGACATGTCCTAAATGGTTAATTTTTAATGTCATGAATGCAGATAGTTTCAAAAAATTGTAACTTATAATTTTATAGTTAAATACATTGGCTGTAAGTTTTATGTCGGAAATATTCGTTTCAGGAACAAGTGAAGAAGAAGATCAAGTTGGTGCAGGACTTTCTGCATGATGATGCTCAGGACCAACTGACCAGTCTTGAAGAAAAAATAAAAAAATCAGAGATCTCAAAGGTGGGTAACTTCCAAAAGACACAGATTATTAATGTTCATGTTATTTCCAATAAATCCATTTATGACATGTTGTGTATCTGTTGTACTTTCCTCAGGAGGTTTACATCTCAAAGGTGAAAGCCTTGCTGGGCAAAGAACTTCATCTTGAGAATGGCTCACATGTTGATGGCGTGGAGCGTAACGAAAAGAGAAATGGCCTCTCTAATGGCTCCCATAAAGACGAAGAGGATGTAGATGGTGATGTTTCCATGGATACCCAGGAAGAAGACACGTCATCATCTGTCAAGTCACCAACCACCTCCAAAGGGAAGGGGGGCCGCAGGAGCAAGGGGAGCGCAGACACAAAAAGTCAGTCTGCGACTCGTTTAGTGTTCATCCCGAGTCTCGTTTTTAAAGGCGCAGCATCTGTAGCTCATGGCGAGTCCTTTTGCATTTGTAGAATCACCAGCCAGCAGCAGAGTCACAAGGAACAGTGTGAAGCAGCCAACCATCTTGTCCATGTTTTCTAAAGTGTACGTATGAGTTTTATGCTGTTTGCAGTTTTAACAAATAAGCAGGAATAAAATTAAGACCAGCTCTGTTTTGCAGCCAAAAGCGCAAGTCTGATGAGGTGAACGGAGAACCTGTCAATGAAACAAGTGAACCTAAAAAAGAAGAGGCCGTTGATGAGGTGACATTTCCTCCTCGTGTGCTAATATCGGTGTAGGTTTAGTCCCGGAGATAACGTTTTACATTTGATCGCCTGTTGCAGTCTCGGGAGGAGAAACGCCTGAAAGTGGAGTCGGATGAAAAGTAGGTCATCTCTTGAGTTTCGATGGTCCTGAAGTGGATCTACGTTTTACAACTCTTCCTTTTTTATGCAGACCTGCTGCTGAGGAACCAAAGCCTGAAGTTAACAGGTCTGCGTCAGCAGCTAAGGTAGTGAAGTGGTTCAAACGTTTACGCAGACAAAGGTGATCCGTCAATAGGCTTTGATACAAAGCCGGGTTGTTTTTTTTTAGACTCCGCCCCCCAAATGTCCAGACTGCAGACAATACCTGGATGACTCCGATCTGAAATTCTTCCAAGGAGATCCTGATAATGCGGTCAGTCTTGCTTTCATAGTAATTTAAGCACTGAGAAGTCGTCGTCTTGACCGGTTTTTTCTGTATCTTCAGCTGGAAGAGCCTGAAATGTTGACGGATGAGCGTTTGTCCCTGTTTGACGCAAACGAGGATGGGTTTGAAAGCTACGATGATCTGCCGCAGCACAAGATCACAAGTTTCAGGTGAGCTTCTCTGTGGGGATTCAGGTGGCTCTTCTTGTTGCTTCTGGTGCCACCGTTACCCCCAAATTCCACTACCTCCGCTCCGACACGAACGCCGGAGCAAAATCGGTCCCGTTGTAGTCAATCAGAGCAATTCCACTACTGCGGCTGTGCTCCTGCAGTGCGGCGCCGTGCTCCTGCAGTGCGGCGCCGTGCGCCGCCCTCTGTTCTGGCGTCCGGCAAAAATAGGATTGATTCTATTTTCGCCGGACGCCGGAGCACCTCCGCAGTAAATGGACAGAAATCACAATCGTCCAACAGGAAAAGGAGCAAGCACACTTTCCGTTTTTCACAATAAATCGATAAACAAAAAGCGTTTCTTGTTTCATATGCACAGGTTTAACAACTTTTAACAACTATCAGTGGCGGCTGAAGTTTAAATGCACAAAAGTAAGCCATAAATACAGTTTCTATTATCAAAGTAGTCACACTTTGTTGATCCAAACACTGCTGATCTCTCAACACAAATGATGGGCAGATTAAACAGTTCATGTCGATGCTTCTCCCACACAACGGGTGTTTGGGTCTAACTTCCGCGTTTATTGCTCGGACTGAATAGCAAGATCTCGAAAATCCCGCGCATGCTTGTTTGTGCACCTCAGGTCTCCGCACCGGAGCGGAGCCGTTGTAGAGCGGGTACCAGTAAAAATTGAGTTCGGAAGCGAGCGGCTGCGGAAGGCGGGGGCGGACCGGAGCGGAGGTAGTGGAATTTGGGGGTTACGCGGCTCTTATCTACAATCGGAACCTGGTTTTGGGTTCACGGTGTTGTTTTTGCGTCCTGCAGTGTGTACGACAAGCATGGCCATCTCTGCCCGTTCGACTCTGGGCTGATTGAGAAGAACGTGGAGCTTTACTTCAGCTGTGTCGTTAAACCCATCTACGACGACAACCCGTGCTTGGACGGTATGATAAACTTCACACAGTGTTGTCTTTTTTTCGTTCTCTACTTTGACAGCTCTGTTTGTTCTTAGGTGGCGTTTCTGCTAAAAAGCTCGGGCCCATTAACGCCTGGTGGATCACTGGTTTCGATGGAGGTGAAAAGGCTTTGATTGGCTTCACAACATGTGAGTAGTTACCTTTACTCTCATTCTGCTCCGTTCGTTTCATGCATGTTGCTTCCTAAAAGATTTGTTTACAGGCAAGAATCTGGGGACACAACATGCATCCCAACACGGGGGCGACTTTACGAAATGCTGCAGATATTGAGACTGACTTTAATTGGACACCTAGCAGTCGGACTTTGAATTGCTCCAAACAGAAACTGTGAATGTTTGCATGTAAATGTTCAATAAAAAATGGATACCCTGCTGTTAAAAATGAATTGAGTATCAAAAGTCTAAGGCCTAGTCCACACGTAGTCGGGTTTCTTTAAAAACGAATATCCGCCCCTCCAAAAACTTGCATCCACACCACCTCGTTTTTAAAAAAAAAACTGTCCACACGTACCCGGATAAATACGTTGTTAAGGACATGCCAGACCTGTAGGCGGCAGTACTTCCCCCGTTCTTAACCTCGTCCTTCGTCTGTGGTCTTCCACAAGCAGCAGTAATTCCGCTTGCAAAACCAAACAAGCAAAAAGCGTTTGGACAATTGATAAAGCGAGCGCAGCTCTGAGGGCATCCATGCTGTCGGCTAGTGTAAACACAGGTCGCACACGTGATGTCAGCATTTTTTTTGTCGCAGAAAGTGACGTTGCGAACCTTAAAACTCCGGTTTTGTCCGTCCGCACGCAGACACCCAAAACGGAGAAAACGCAGATCTTCACTTTGGCCGGAGTTTTTAAAAAGATCCGTTTTCGTGTGAAAAAACTCCGTTTTCGTGTGGATGACAGGCCAAAACGTAGAAACATATCTACGTTTTGGCAGATCCCCGCCTACGTGTGGACAGGACCTTAATATGAGCATCTTTCATCGTCTGGACCTTTCCTTACATCCTGTGTTTCTGCAGCTTTTGCCGACTACATCTTGATGCAGCCCAGCGAGGAGTACGCTCCCATCTTCGCGCTCATGCAGGAGAAAATCTACATGAGCAAGATTGTGATGGAGTTTTTGCAGAAAAATCCCGACGCTACTTATGAGGACCTTCTTAACAGAATAGAGGTGAGAACACCTGAGGTTTAGTGTCATTGCTCCTGAATCCTGCAGAGTGCTGACCGGCCGTCCTTGTTGCCCACAGACAACCGTTCCGCCTGCAGGACTCAACTTTAACTGCTTCACTGAAGACACGCTGCTGCGCCACGCCCAGTTTGTGGTGGAGCAGGTGGAGAGTTACGACGAGGCTGGAGACTCGGACGAGCAGCCCATCATTGTGACGCCCTGCATGAGAGATCTGATCAAACTCGCTGGAGTCACTTTAGGAAAAAGGTACAGCTGTGAGATAAAGCCCCAGATAATTTAGACTTCCAAAATCTTATTTCAGTTCTTACGGCGGTATTAAAATGATATGGATTGTATTTTTGTCATGATTTGTGTGTTTCTGCTCCTGGCTCCCTTTGTCCCTGATGTCTAACGTTCCTTTATAACATCTCCTAATGCAGCATGCTGCTGTACTGGTAGGTTGGCCTTGTTGTGATCTAGGGGTGGGCAATATAAACGATATAAGGTAGATATACAACAGAGCTTTTGGCTATATCGTAATACCGCGATAACACATGACGTCACTAAGATGTGCACCCTGCTGACATTGGGACAACAGAACGGCAGTGACTGCAAGCATGGAGTGGGTGGAGGAGGAGGAGGCCTATATGCCTCAGGTGGCATATTTGCCACATGAGGATATTTAAAAGCATGTCATTTTGACATATATAATCAGAGGGAAAAAATTATCGCAATATATATCGTTACCGCACATGCTTCAGATTATATCGCAATCTAGATTTGAGGCCATATCGCCCAGCCCTAATGTGATCTCATCTTTAGCTTGTCTGTTGGTGTGAAGCATTTCAAAAACGACCTCTGTCCTAAAGTTCATGCTATGATCTCTTTTGTTTTATGCATTTGAACATGCTTTTCTTTGTAGTTTAATTTCTGATGTTTTCTTCATAAAGTGGCGTTCTGCATCGGTAAGGGTTGTGAATCGGATGTTTTATAAGTAACACATTTGTGTGAGAGGTGTCTAGGAATAACTGTGGATGTAGTTGTGCAGTATGGACCGGAAGGCCAATGTCCTCTCAGTTTAATTCTTAAATTAAACGTGTTTAATCTGGTTTTTCCTGGCTCAAATTGAGGCAGAGGTGGTGCCATCCTGACCATGCGCCCGAACATGCATACTCCGTGTATTCGACTGCCTCACTTTTTTAAAGGCCAAATATGTTTTTAAGTGTTTTAATCTAAGCTTCTGTTGGTTAATAGAATATTTCATTTGACAACGTTTCAAGTGAAACAAAACTGGTTTGCTGCTAAAAAAATATGAAAGAAAACAACAAAATTATCAGGCGGAAATAACAGACTCTTATTATGAAAGGCTCAATAATGAGCATTAGATTGCTGTTTAGTTCCCTTTTCCCCATCTGATATTTATAGTTAAAATATTTGACCTACATTTCAGTAGCATTGTAGGTTTGTATTAATAACACTCATCTTAGTCAAAATAACATAAATATTCCAGTAAAATGGAATGCGTTTCATTAACATGCATTTGTATTGGAAATGGTAAAAACATTTAATTTCTGCTGCCAACAATGTAATGGTGGCACGTCTATTGTGTACGGGTTGGCAATAATCCAGTTTAAATTATGTTCAAAGATAGAAGCGTCTGTGAATTATGTACCACAACGGCTTGCCGTACCTCCTGCTCCTGTGTGACTTGTATCTGCAGCGGTTCTGACCCGTAGCGCTGCTGGATGCAGAATAAACAGGATGGTGGGGACTTTTCATCCGCTTGTAGAGTTTAGTCTTTCCTAGTTTTATATCATCATATACTTTTCTGTGCGCCACTTGATCGTGAGACTGCTACCCGTTAGCTTTAGCATTAGCCAATCTGCGTGTAGCTGCACTTTTGATCCCAAACTTTGGACCGGTTCTGCCTTTGTGCCTTTGCTGGTTCCTGTATTTTCCTCCCCTGCATCCAGATTACCACACTGTGCGCCAGTAAAAAGCATTTTTCTTACACGTAACTTACCTTTGTTCAATAAAGTTCTGGGAAAATAGTAATCCAAAGTTGTAGCACCAGTGCTTGCGTTTAAAAATAGACAAACACGCACAGACAGTTTTTTTTTGTCACACTGTACAGCCCTGCTCTGATATGGAAGAGCCTGGAGGAAAATCAGGACGTCAATAGCACCAACCATAGAAATGTAACTAGCGAGAAAAACTATTTTTGATCTTTCTGCAGCGGTTTGAGTGCTTTTCAGTGCCTCGCTGCTGATAAAGCGCCCGTGTGGTGGTGCAACGCTGCACCTGCAGTTAAAATAACATCCAAATAGCTTCAGGCAGAGTGAAATCAGGCTGGGGCGGCACAAAATTAGCTGGAGGCGGCCGCCACGCAAATTTGAACGCAGGAAAAACCCGTGTTTAATTAAAACCGAACACTTGTGGACGTGGGAGTTTCTTCAAGTGACTCCTTTTGCAGTAATTCTCATAATAAAAACCTTTTTCTCTCGCTATAGGATGAACTTTTTTTTCTTTCCAGTTTTTCATCCCGTCTCTTTTGCTTGCTTGTTGTGTTGCATGGCCTGATGCTGTGGTGTGATGGCGGCCGGCGGCCTCAGAACGCCGTCGCTCCGTGTACACTCGGGGTTTGTGCCGGAGGCATTCCGCTAAACTTGGATTTCTTCTGTTGACAGGCGAGCCGCCAGAAGACAGGCCATCCGTCACCCAACGAAGATAGAGAAGGACAACAAGGGCCCGACAAAAGCCACCACCACCACGCTGGTCTATCAGATCTTTGATGCCTTCTTCTCAGGTCAGATTGAGCAGAACGATAAGGAGGGTGGAGTCAAAAGACAGCGCTGTGGAGTCTGTGAGGTAAACAGGCCTTATAGAAATAAACTGATTAGACTTGTTTTTTTGAGGCTATACATTTAAATCCACCATGTTGGCTTCTAGGTGTGCCAGTCTCCTGACTGTGGGAAGTGTGCCGCCTGCAAAGACATGATCAAGTTTGGAGGAAGCGGCAGAAGCAAGCAGGGTTGTAGGCAGAGAAGGTGAGTGTGTTTGTGCGTCTGAAGCTCGTTTCAGACACCCAGGGTTTCTGAACCCGGGTCGTTTCCTGTTGCCAGATGTCCAAACCTTGCTGTGAAGGAGGCGGAGGATGATGAGAATATTGAAGAAGACGTTCCAGAAGAGAAGCTCAAAAAGGCTCCCAACACTAAGAGGAAGAAGCAGACCCAGTCCAAACTGGCGTGGATCGAAGAGCCCGTTCAGGTCAGGCGAGGCAGCAGATTTTCTGTCTGCATCAGAAGGCGTGAGCATCACCTGTACTGATTCATGATCGCTGTTGCCCATCAGACTGTGGGGAAGAAGCAGTTCTACAAGAAGGTCTCTGTGAATGACGAGGTTCTGGAAGTGGGAGACTGTGTTTCAGTTTCTTCTGATGATCCATCCTTTCCTCTTTACCTGGCAAGGTAAAAAAAAAAAAAATCAGTTTTTTAACATTTCATTCAGAGGAACTGGGATATCGAACGAGGTTCTCCTTCTCAGGATCACGTCACTGTGGGAGGACAACAATGGGAAGATGTTCCACGCCCACTGGTTCCTTCGCGGGATTCACACGGTGCTCGGAGAGTCCTCCGATCCACTGGAGCTGGTCGTCGTGGACGAGTGTGAGGACATGCTGCTCAACTACGTCCAGGGAAAAGTCAGCGTCACGTATAAGGCCCCGTCTAACAACTGGTCTATGGAGGTGTGTTTGTGACCGTGGACATGTGGATCTTATTGTTTACAGGGTTTTAACGTTATCCACTTGCTGGGTTTTAGGGAGGGGTGGACGTTGACCTCAAGGTGATCGAGGACGATGGAAAGAGTTTCTTCTACCAGTTCTGGTATGATGTCAACTTTGCTCGATTTGAGACTCCCCCGGAGACCCTTCCATCAGAAGAGTGCCGGTTCAGGTAAACACGAGTCCTGTGATGTTTGAGATAACAGATTTGCACGATCGGTGAGGAAGTACAGAGTGATGTTTCTTTGTTTTTCTGTGTTCTTGAAGTTTCTGTGGCAGCTGCACTCGTACTAAAGAGAGGGAAGAGCAGGAGATCCCTCGTCCATCTGAACCCCTGGAGAACGAAGATAGCGACACCAAAGCTCTTTATGGTTTAGTCTGCTTCAAGAGAGAGCAGTTCAGGGTGGGAGATGGTGTCTACCTGCCTCCTGACGCCTTCCATTTCAGGTGAGCGTACGTAGAGCCAAGCTTTAACTTTATCGATCCCTCTGGAACGGTTCGGTTCTCCGTCAGTAACGCATCTAACAGCAACTCAAAGGAATGGGGCATAATACATATGACTGTATTTTGAAGTGTTGTATGACTAGGGATGGGTACCTTTGACATTTGAATCGATCCGGTACTAATTCCCGGTACCTACGAATCGATACCGGTACTTAACGGTACCAATTTTCGATACTTTTGAGTGTTTTATTACTTTAATTCTCTTTTATAATTAAATATATATTTTTCTCAATATATAACCATATTTGATAAATATAACGATAAATAACATACAAGTTTGTATTTTAACATCGTCCTTGTAGTTTTATAAGCTGATAATTAAACTGAAGCAAACATCTTTACTGTGAACTAAATTTACTGTGTATCTTCATTCCTTTTGCCGTCCTTTTTCTTTTCATTTTTCCTACTGGGAAGTTAGAATTTCCGAGGAGAAAGCGAACGCACCATTAGCTGATAACAATGGTGGCAATGGAAGCTAACATATCAAGCTAACATTATCTTAAACAGTTTATTTAGCTGCTGGAGCAGATTAAAACGATGATGCCTCACACTTAGATCGTTGTCGCTGGTTTCATCTTCACCCAATCACCCGTCGCATTTAGTAAAGTGAAGCCAAACTTTAGAGCACGTTCATGTTCTTCTAGTCTGAAATTCGGAGTTCCGAGGAGAAAGCGAACGCTCCATTAGCGAAACGGAAGCTAACATATCAAGCTAACGTTATCTTAAACATTTTATTTACCTACCGGAGCAGATTAAGATGAGGAAGTCTCACTTAGATCGTTGTCGCTGGTTTCATCATCACCCAGTTACCCATCACATTTAGTGAAGTGGACCCAAGCTTTAGCGTGCGTTCTTTCTACCATGCTGCTCTGTTTACAACTCGCTCGCAGCGAGCGACGACATAACGCTCTTGCGCATGCGCAGCTGTCTTGGCATGTTCTCGTTATGAAGGACGGGTACCGAAACGAGGCACCGTTTGAAACGACGTGAATCGGTACTTGGTCGGTACTGTGGAATTCGGTCGGTACCTTAAAAAGTACCGAATTCGGTACCCATCCCTATGTATGATACTTGTATTGCACATCCTATGAAGACTTGTATTGTGTTGAATGTGGAATTGCAGATGAGGACGCTCTGGTGGTGTTCAGGCGCCGTATTAAACCTGCGTTTGGTTTTCAGTGTGAAGCCTGCCAGTCCGCTGAAACGCTCCCACAGGAAAGAGGATGTGGATGAAGATCTGTATCCTGAGTACTACAGGAAATCCTCAGACTACATTAAGGGGTCCAACCTGGATGCTCCAGAGCCGTTCCGTATCGGCCGCATCAAGGAGATCTTCTGTCACCGACGGAGCACCGGGAAGTCCGACACCTCGGATGTCAAACTGAGACTCTACAAGTTCTACAGGTGAATCTACAGGTTGTTTTGTTTCTATTTAAAAGAAGTCCGCCGTGGCTGAGGTTTGTGTCACCAACAGGCCTGAGAACACTCACAAAGGCGTCAAAGCGGGTTACCACACAGACATCAATCAGCTGTACTGGAGCGAAGAGGAGGTGACCGTCAGCGTGTGCGACGTGCTCGGCCGCTGTCAGGTGGAGTACGCTGAAGACCTGAATGAATCCGTCCAGGAGTATTCCAGCGGTGGGCCGGATCGCTTCTATTTCCTCGAGGTAACGTCTGTAATTAGGTTTTACGTCCAGATTCGTCTCAGCTGCTCACGTTGTCTTTGTTAGCTTGTAGTTAAGCTCTTGGACTTGAATTTAAAGAGCAAATTGCAGGTTACGTTTTTTTTTTTCTAATTCATATAAAATGCTGTCCAAAAAAATACTATTCAAAAAGCTTATTGTGGATATTTTGTTTTAAAATACATAAACTGTAGTTTTTGGACTAAAAAGTGGCCTTCCTCAGCAAAGCTTCTAAAAACGCTCTCGTTTCTAAACCTGAACCTCTGACGTAACCAAAGGGAGTCAGGAGCTCGGCGCTGCCTCAGCTCAGTGTGGAGAGTAGGTAGCTTTGGGTAGAGGTCATGTGATCGTGTGTGTGTGTGTGTGTGTGTGTGTGTGTGTGTGTGTGTGTGTGTGTGTGTGTTCATGTTGACAAACTAGTGTGTGAAGGCTGTACCAACTCCAGCCTGTCTGGACAGCGAGTCCTCGGGTTTCCAGATAAGAGAAACAGCTCCTCCATCTCCGTGCCTGAGGGTGTTTATGCAGCTGAAAAGACGGACTTCTGTAGCCCGCATTGGTCGGTGCCGGGTCAGGGAGGTCCGTGCTGGGCTCCAGAGACCTGTGGTGGGGTTAAAAAATTAAATGTGGATTTCTGGAGCTCCGATCATCGTCAGAACCGACCACTAGAAGAGACGCGCGGCTCAGTGGGCCAGCTGGTTTCCGGGTTGGAACCGGATCAGAACTGCCGCCTGGACCACCAGGAGAGCATGTGCGGCTTTTCTAAATACCAGCTCGACTGTCTCGCTCATGTTTGGGTCAAATCCAGCTCACAGAAGCCTGCATGAGCTCCAGAACCGGATCACAGGCGTCTCTCAGCTCAGCGGACCAGCCGAGCAAGCTTTCTGGGTCGGAACCAGATCAGAACCACCGCGGACCTCTAGGGAAGGATCGTGTGCAGCTTTTAAAAATATCAGCTCAACTGGCTCACTGATGTCTGGGTGGGATCCAGCTCACAGAAACCTGCATGAGCTCCAGAACCGGATGACAGGCGTCTCTCCCTCTCTAAGCTAAACTACGATACGTGAACGGATATTGGCGAGTATGAGACCGCTGACAGACGCTCATTAGTATTATTATCATATTAACTGACCGATACTATTTTAATTGTCTGGTACACGATAGTAATCGGTACAATATTGTGATGTTAGCACACGAGTTTAAGCTAACATGATTAACTCACCTGCCCCGCCCCCCCCGCTCCTGCTCCTTAATCTCTCTGCTTTGCCGGTCGTTTCTCCCTCTGGTTGGTCTCTGCTCTCTGGGACTTGCAGCAAACTCATAACTTTATGGTTTTGGTCCATCATGAGTATAATTGTAAACATTTAAAGTCTCCTCTGAGTCGGCGCCGGCATTATAATCTATATTTTTCACTGGATTAAGCTAACAGGACTCGTTCAGATTACGTCACTTGGTTTGGTCAAAAAAATGAACTTTCTCACAAAAATGACTCTTAAAAGCCTAAATAATTTATGTTTGTGTGAAAAAATGTTTAAAACGAGTTTCTGTTATGTTTCTCTAAACATTGGTTCATGGAAGTCTCTAACCTGCAATGTGCTTAGGGATGCAACAACACCACTATTTTTTTCCAAACCGATACGATACCGATACTTTGATCTGAGTACTCGCCGATACCGATTACCAAAACCGATACTTCTACCACACAAAAAATGCAATGATTTGGAATACAGATTTTATTTTCTTCTCTGCTTTCAACAGGAAAAGACTGTGAGGTAGAAAAAAAGTAAAATATATGAATGGAAATCATCACAAAACTTAAATATTAGGTGAACAGAAATGACAAGTTACAGTGAAGCCATTTTCAAGCAACTGCATTGGTATCGGTTAACTTTTGGGCCATTCCCATCTGTACCGGGTCGGCCCGGGCCGGGTAGCCCCAGTCGGCCCCAGCCTGGCCCGGTTGATTCCACACATCCTTGCCTTAAGCCCATGTGGGCTGATTCTACCCACCAATCAGAGGCTTGCTCTAATGGAAGGTGTGAATTTGCTGTCAGCAGTGGGTGTGTTGGCCCTGGTCGGCCTGAAGCAGACCCCCTCGAGAAGAGGGCTGAGAATGAGCCTTGGTTGGCCCGGAAAAATACCAGGCCACCCAGATATGTAAACAACCTACGCTACCCGGCCCGGGCCGACCCGGTACAGATGGGAATGGCCCATTAAACCGTTACTGGTATTGGTATCAGTATCGGTGCCGATACCAGTATTGTATCGGTGCATCCCTAAATATGCTCTTTATTGAACTTTATTGATCTGTTCACTCAGGCCTACAATGCTAAATCCAAGAGCTTTGAAGATCCTCCGAACCATGCCCGCTCCTCTGTCCATAAAGGAAAGGGAAAAGGCAAAGGAAAAGGTTGGTTAGAAGAGTTTTACAGGCAGGAAACGGGCATCTGTTTTCTGTTCTTGGCCAACAAAAAAAATCTGCTTTTGTAGGGAAAGGGAAAGGAAAGGCTGCGCAGGAACCGCAAGACCCTCACACAGAACCTCCCAAAGTGCCCAAATATCGCACACTGGATGTGTTCTCCGGCTGTGGAGGACTCTCTGAGGGTTTCCACCAGGCGGGTAAATACTTCTTTGACGCTTTATCAAGCACAGATGTGTCGCCCATGAGTTAACTTCTCGCTCTTCTCAGGCATCTCCGAGACTCTCTGGGCCATAGAGATGTGGGAACCTGCAGCACAGGCCTTCAGGCTCAACAACCCTGGCACCACGGTGTTCACGGAGGACTGTAACGTCTTACTGAAGTTGGTCATGTCGGGGGAGAAGACCAATTCTCTTGGGCAGAAGCTGCCTCAGAAGGGGGATGTTGAGATGCTGTGTGGTGGACCTCCCTGTCAGGGTTTCAGTGGGATGAACCGCTTCAATTCCCGGACTTACTCCAAGTTCAAGAACTCTCTTGTGGTCTCGTATCTGAGGTGTGTGTTGAGACTTTTAAGTTCATGTTTAAGCAGACTTGAGTCTGCTAGGATTTCTGTTTAAATCGGACGTTTTTTTTTTTTCCTTGCAGCTACTGCGACTACTACAGACCAAAGTTTTTCCTGCTGGAGAACGTGAGGAACTTCGTTTCATTCAAAAGCTCCATGGTTCTGAAGCTGACGTTGCGCTGTCTCGTGCGAATGGGCTACCAGTGCACCTTTGGGGTCCTTCAGGTGGGTCCAGTTGCAGAGGCGGTCTTTAACGGACTATCTGTGTGAAGTGGTGTAGATGAGGTCAGATCAGACTTGTGATGTTGTTCTCCTCAGGCGGGTCAGTACGGCGTCGCCCAGACCCGTCGCAGGGCGATCATCCTGGCTGCTGCCCCAGGAGAGAAGCTGCCCCGTTACCCTGAACCCCTCCACGTGTTTGCTCCCAGAGCCTGCCAGCTGAGCGTGGTGGTGGACGAAAAGAAATATGTCAGCAATGCCACGCGGTGATTTAAAGCGTCGTTTGTTGTGATGATGGTTAATCTGGAACACGTAACCACCTCACGCTGAACAAACGTGGTTTTAGAGTTATTTGTTTCCTCCCTCCCTCAGAGGCAACGGTGGGATCTATAGAACCATCACCGTCCGCGACACCATGTCCGATCTGCCGGAGATTCGTAACGGTGCCGCAGCTTTGGAGATTTCCTACAACGGCGAGCCTCAGTCCTGGTTCCAGAGGCAGATCAGAGGCACGCAGTACCAGCCCATCCTAAGAGACCACATCTGCAAGGTGAGCTGTGGAGTCATTCGGCCATCGTTGTGTTGTGTGAGTGAATTTAGACAAAAATAACAGGATTTCTCTTCCTAGGACATGAGCGCTCTGGTTGAGGCCAGAATGCGCCACATCCCCTTGGCTCCAGGCTCGGACTGGAGAGATCTTCCAAATATTGAGGTTCGGATGAAAGATGGCAACACGACTAAGAAGCTGCGTTACACGCATCACGATAAAAAGAACGGCCGCAGCAGCACTGGTGCACTCAGAGGTGTCTGCACCTGTGCAGGAGGTATGCAGAGCTGTGGAGTATCTGGTAGAGCAGAGCTCCACATCCTCATTTATTCTTCACGTCCTTTCAGGGAAACCTTGCGACCCTCTAGACAGGCAGTTTAACACCCTGATTCCCTGGTGTCTTCCTCACACTGGAAACCGCCACAATCACTGGGCTGGACTTTATGGCAGACTGGAGTGGGATGGCTTCTTCAGCACAACAGTCACCAACCCTGAACCCATGGGAAAACAGGTTAGAGAACTCGCATCAACCCACCAGATGAATCACCTTTTAACATCTGGACCTTTAAAACTGGATCATCTGCCTCTGGATCGTAAATCCACACATTTTAATTCCAGGGTCGTGTTCTGCACGCCGAGCAGCACAGAGTGGTGAGTGTCAGAGAGTGTGCACGCTCTCAGGGATTCCCTGACACCTACCGATTCTTTGGAAACATCCTGGACAAGCACAGACAGGTGAAAGGCCGCTGCATCAAATGTGTCCGTAACACATCAGTTAGCTAAACCTGAATATTAATGTCTTATTTTTCGCAGGTTGGAAATGCTGTTCCTCCTCCTCTCTCCAGAGCCATCGGGCTGGAGATTAAGAAATGTGTCATAGAAAGGATAAAGCAAGAACAGGCAGAAGGTCCCACATCATTATCACCCCCCCCACGAAGGATATGAAGCTCTAAAATAGATCATGGTGTGAAGGTTTGTTCTTTTCTCTGCAGATAACATCAAGCAAGAGAAGATGGAAGCTTGATTGATCTCATTCCCATCCCAGCAGGAATCGACTCTACAAACCCCGATGTCGGGGAAATTTCTTTTAAATATTTTGGCTTTTAACGGTCACAAAGTGGCGCCGAAGCTCCGTGTAGTAACCATTCCATTTTGAATCTTAACTGCTTTTAGTTATGCCATTAAATGTTCAATGTGGGATGAATTGTATGTAGATTTATATGTAATATTTCAAATAAAGGTCTTATAAAATTGTAGTTGACCGAATAAACCGTTTATTTCAGGCCTACGCCGTAGGGCCTCTTAAACAGATGAGTTCTATACGGAGCCACCAACCAGTGGCTGTCTAAGCTTTAGAGTGGTGTATCATGCAGGCTTACAGTTTCTGCACCAACACATCTGGTTCTGTTTTATGGAAAGAAAGTTCTTGGTGCGTTGCTCCACCAAGAGGAGTGTAGACCGTTTGCAGGTCCTTCTCAAAAAGTTAGCATATTGTGATAAAGTTCATTATTTTCTGTAATGCACTGATAAACATTAGACTTTCATATATATTAGATTCATTACACACAACTGAAGTAGTTCAAGCCTTTTGTTGTTTCTAATATTGATGATTTTAGCATACAGCTCATGAAAACCCAAAACTCCTATCTAAAAAAATTAGCATATTTCATCCGACCAATAAAAAAAAAAGTTGTTAATACAAAAAAATGTAACCGTCAACAATTATGTTCAGTTATGCACTCAATACTTGGTCGGGATTCCTTTAGCAGAAATAACTGCTTTAATGCGGCGTGGCATGGAGGCAATTAGTCTGTGGCACTGAGGCCCAGGATGCTTCGATAGCGGCCTTAAGCTCATCCAGAGTGTTGGGTCTGGCGTCTCAACTTTCTCTTCACAGTATCCCACAGATTCTCTACGGGGTTCAGGTCAGGAGAGTTGGCAGGCCAATTGAGCACAGTAATACCATGGTCAGTAAACCATTTACCAGTGGGTTTGGCACTGTGAGCAGGTGCCAGGTCGTGCTGAAAAATGAAATCATCTCCATAAAGCTTTTCAGCGGATGGAAACAAGAGCTCCAAAATCTGCTAGCTAGCTGCATCGACCCTGCCCTTGATAAAACAGTGTACCAACACCAGCAGCTGACATGGCACCCCAGACCATCACTGACTGTGGGTACTTGCCCCTGGACTTCAGGCATTTCCTCTGCCCGGTCTTCCTCCAGACTCTGGCACCTTGATTTCTAAATGCAAGATTTGCTTTCATCTGAAAAAAGTACTTTGGACCACTGAGCAACAGGCCGGTGCTGCTTCTCTGTAGCCCAGGTCAGGCGCTTCTGCTGCTGTTTCTGGTTCAAAAGTGGCTTGACCTGGGGAATGCAGCACCTGTAGCCCATTTCCTGTACACGCCTGTACACGGTGGCTCTGGGGGTTTCTATTCCAGACTCAGTCCACTGCTTCTGCAGGTCTGGAATCGGTCCTTCTCCACAATCTTCCCCAGGGTCCGGTCACCTCTTCTCGTTGTGCAGCGTTTTCTGCCACACTTTGTTCTTCCCACTGAGGTGCCTTGATACAGCACTCTGGGAACAGCCTACTCGTTCAGAAATGTCTTGTGTCTTAACCTCTTGCTTGAGGGTGTCAATGATGGCCTTCTGGACAGCAGTCAGGTTGGCAGTCTTACGGATTGCGGTTTTGAGTAATTAACCAGGCTGGGTGTTTTTGAATGCCTCAGGAATCTTTTGCAGGTGTTAAGAATTAATTAGTTCATTCAGATGATTAGGTTAATAGCTCGTTTAGAGAACCTTTTCATGATATGCAAATTTTTTGAGATAGGAATTTTGGGTTTTCATGAGCTGTACGCCCAAATCATCAATATTAGAAACAATAAAAGGCTTGAACTACTTCAGTTGTGTGTAATGAATCTAATATATATGAAAATCTAATGTTTATCAGTACATTACAGAAAATGAACTTTTATCACAATTTGCTAATTTTTTTAGAAGGACCTGTATATAATACACAACCTCATGTCTTCAAGGTATGGCATTAAAAACCTTGTTTCATCGATGGATGTTAAACAGGCATCTGAAGAACTTGAGAACATGGTGAAGAAGTGAGTCGATCACTAACCCAGGTGTTGGAGCAGGTAAGTGGTGGCAGAGGCTTGCAGCATAGAATAGTCCTGCTTTACAGCATTCACACATCTGGATTATGAGCTTATTTAAGACGCCTACACGTGTAAAGTGAGTTACGCGGTAAACAGATGCATCTTTTTACACAAGGGGTTGCCATTTTGTTTCCTGGCCACAAAATGAAGCATTTGTAAACATCAAATATGCAAGACCATAATGACAACATGCATTACCAATGTGTTTGTCAAGTTTATCATGGCAGATTTTAATGCATTATAAATATTTTGGGGCAGTGATTGTAGTAATTTCTACACACATTGTCCATGACTGACACAGGGACCAACTGTGGGAACCACTGTTCTACAGCAGATGGTAAAACATGACTTCAAAGAACCATCTCTAGGCTCCAGACCTTAGCACAGAGTCAAACAGAGAAGCAGCGACAAATTATGTTTATTTAGGTAACGGCCACATTTCATTAATTCTGGCATCTTTCTGTTAAGATTCTGATGAAGTCCTCAGTTGTTTGATGGTCTGTAACAGAAGTAAATTATGTTAGTGAATATGAAACACTGATCATTTTACTGACAACAGTGATAATTTACTTACTTGGCCCATTCAACATTGAGAATAAGATGATCATATCCAAATCCTGACACTCCTGCTATGGCTCTGGCAGCATCCTCCCTACGGTGGAAACTGATGAAGGCAAATCCCTGCAGAGCAATAAAAAAAAATCTGACTGATGATTCTTGATTTTTTCAGCGTCAATCTCAAATCCTAGATGGTAGATAACAGCAGGTTGCAGAAAAACTGTGAAAGGCCAGCACTTGTAAAGCCCAGTCACCCCTAAGGTGAGCACTAACCTTGGACTGTCCCGTGTTCTTGTCCTTTGCCAGATAGATCCTTGAGATGGAACCAAACGGTCTGAAAAGCTCCTGCAAGTCTGTCTCACGAGTGTCCTCAGACAGGTTGGTCACACGGATGGTAGCGTTGTCATCAGCTGTTAAATGCAGTGATTCGTTTTACTGAGACGTTTATTCAACGCTGCATGACCAGATTAAAAATGACCACATATTGCTAATGTAGCACCCATACCAACACAAACTGACCTCTGCGGTTAGGCTGCATAGACTCCCCTCTTCTTGTGCCTCCATCTCTCAGGCTCGGCGGGACATACTTTCCAGTTTTGCTTTGTGCAGGCTGAACAGGCTCTGGCTCAGCTAGGAAAAGCCACAATTACTGTCACACCTTTAGAAACTAGCAGCAGCAGACAAGTGTGGTAATGAGAATGGTGATAATGGTACCAGAACCAGCAGTCTTCTCCTTGTCTCCAGTGGAAAGCCCAAGCTGCTCAGCCAGCTCCTTCTGCATGGGGCCCAGCGTGTCCTTATACGGGCAGCGGGTCGTCCAATGGTCCCCTTTACAAATACGACAAGACACAATCTTCTGCCCTTTGAGCTTGTTCATTGGATCCTCATCTTGGTCTTGGGCATTCAGGTCCTGCAAAAAAAGCAAGATTAGCAACTTTGATAAAACAACTTGATTACAGTAAAAATTACAAATTTGAAGCCATGAACTTCATAAATTCTGAGTCACATTACAGAATGAGAAGATCTAGAGCTGTTGAATGTGGTAATTGTGAACACCAAGCAAGCTGTAAAAAGTAGTGCAAGCAGCATTTTAAACCTGCTGCGAACTATCGATGCTCCATTAGAACATTTCCTAAAGAATGTTCTTGTTCGTTTTTGCGTTCTGAAGGAAAACAGCAACTTGGACATATCCTGTACCTCCTTGCTGGAGATGAAAGTCATGAAGACGTCATCGCTGACAGTGGTGGTTGCAACATTAGGACCCGGTGGGTCAAACTCAGAGTTGCCGAACTTCTTCCAGTTCTGAAATGAGAGTGGTAAATATCAGAAGGCGGTTCATTTATTAACTGCACTGATATGATTTAATAAAACACGGACCTTTCTTCTGGCAACAGCTTTTGAGGCTTTCCTCGTCTCAATCTTGAAGGTCCGCACAATCTAGAGAACCAAAATGTTTCACTTATAATATTTCAGGAGACATTTATTATTTGCCTTTTAAATTTATTGATGCAACATAAACAAAGTACCTTGAACTTTTTACCATCATCATCTATCTTATACTCAGTGATTGTTTTGATGTTTCCTTTGATGGTCTCCTTTGGTGATGGTAATGTGCCTATGGGATCAGAATCATTAGGGTTTTAGTGACATATGTGCGAGAAATCAGATTAGGAAATTGCTGCGGCACTTTGTGCAAAAAAGAACGATTAAAGTAAGAAAACAGCAAATATGGGAAGTAAGAATATAATCAAGATAAAGGTATACAACATTCGCAGATGCACGAAAAACAACCATAAGCTTAACATCCGGGGATACTTTAATAACTTTCAACTAAATGTGAGTTTATCTGGGACTGATCTGAACCGTCAGGATCAGGATGCTCCTGATGTGACGTCACATCTTCGTTTTCACATCAACTGGAACAGTTGACGACTTTAAATGTTTTATGAATATTTAATCAGTCTAGTTTCCGTCAGCATCATTATCTTGACTGTTTTTACACCCCTACGTCACTGTCAGGGGACCACTGCCTCATTATCATAACGCAATTTCTTAAGCCGTTCGTCTCTCAGTCACGCCAACCCATGACTGATTTAAGGGCAGATTCTTATAAAATTTAACAAACTTGCATATTTTAGCTCGTCTTTAATGCTGTTCAACCACGTGGAACTGCAACACCGGCCTCCTTTGTGTAACCGGGTCAGGGGAGCACTGAGTGTTTTTCTTTATATTATTGTCTCTTGTCTCGGGTCCCTACAGCGGCTTTGTGCTTTTAAATAGAAATAGATGGCGTTGCGTGTGTAGTCCCAGGGCCAGCATTGTCGTCGCTCCTCCCTCCCGTGTTTTAGAGTTTTTAGTCTACTTTTTATCCCGACCTGGGTTGTCTTCAATAAATCTCCTGTGTTGTATCTATACATAAAAATTGTTAAACTTGTGAATAAGCCTCTGCTGTTTTCATCAAGGGTTATTATCACCTACGGTTTTAGGATCTTAAGCATCCAACCCTCTAGGTCACATTTGCCACCGAGCTAGCTAGCGAAGCTAAAATGCTGTTTACCTTCATCTACTTCCTCCTCCACCTGGTCAGCCCAGCTGGGCTTTGAGCTAGAATAGAATCACACAAACTCGTTATTACAACGGTTACACGCATTCAATAAAGACACAAAAACCCTACGTTTCATTTAGACTCTTACTCGTCGTATTCAATCGACGGCATCCTCTCGGCTAGCCTAGCTTCGGAAGAACCAGCGCGAATCGAGCACCGCACTTCCGGAGGTTAAAACTTCGCAATAAAGGCACAACTCGTCAGACTTTTTCAAAATAAGAGTTTATTTTTGGTGCTGACAAAAATTGTTGACAAAATCGTAAAATTGCATAATAAAAATTCGTTGTTATTGTTATGAAAATAACTTCTCATGTGGATTCTTAATGTGAATTCTGTGGTAACTTAATTCATATTTGTGCTTAAAAATATTAGGAGCATCAGATTTACACATTTGTTGTCAAATTTCTCAAAAGTCAAAAGAAGTATGATGAGTTTACAAATCACCCCAGTGGCAATATTAGATCGTTTTTATTTCATTACCAGCAAAGAAAAAATGCACATATTATAGAAAACATTAACTTCTTCCTCCTCCCTGCTGTCTCTCTTTTTTCACTTGGAACATTGTACTTGATGAGTGTGTTGTGAATTAGTGATGAAGGAAATTGCAGAATGAGAAAAAAAATAACAAATGAAATGAAACTTCAATCTGGTTTTCAGTGGAGCAATAAAAGGACTGGAACTTTTACAAAAGTGCTTAATCACTATTCCAGCATAGATTTTGGGTCATAGCAATTATAGTTATGAAATAGTAACAACAACAACAACAACAACAACAATAATAATAATAAATACAAGATGTTTGTTTTTCCTGATAGGTCATATCAACATAAGAAAACCGTCATTACATCAGGATTTGTTCCAACGCTGCAGGAAAGAAAAACTGTCAGCAGTAGCAGGTGCAGACAAAATGTGTGCAGAATTAATTTCATATAAAACTAGAGGTTCTTATGTTGTCTTTAAAAAATAGCAATAATATGTGAATGACTGTGTTGTGAAGCACCTTGGGGGGGTTGTAGAACCCTAAGAAGGCGCTATACAAATAAAGACGATTTATAATAATAATAATACATTTTATTTCAAAGCGCCTTTCAGGACACCCAAGGTCACTTTACACAAAACACGTAATAAAATACAATAAAACAATAATAAAACCCAAAGAAGAAAAAACAGAGAGAAACATTTCAATAAAATCAGAGGTTTTAGGCAGATTTAAACATGTGTGTTTTGAGTTTTGTTTTGAAAAGGGTAAAACTGTCGACGTTCCTGATGTCTGGGGGAAGTGAGTTCCAGAGTCGAGGAGCAGAGCGGCTGAAAGCTCTGCTCCCCATGGTAGCGAGACGGGCAGAAGGAACCGCAAGATGGATGGAAGAAGAAGATCTGAGTGAACGGGACGGGGTGTGAATACTTATAAGGTCTGAGATATATGGAGGAGAGAGGTTGTGGATTGCTTTGAAGGTATGAAGGAGAATTTTGAAGATGGACCTGAATTTAACTGGGAGCCAGTGAAGCTGCTGGAGAACCGGCGTGATGTGGTGAAAGGAAGGGGTTCTGGTGATAATACGGGCTGCTGAATTCTGTGCCTGTGCATTCTGGTAAAACGATTTACCGTTTAAAAATAAGCAATAAGGATATAGCTACCATACATGAAACCACTGAGCAGCAGCTCTACTTCCTCTGTGTCTGTTCATCGTCTTGCTCTTGGCCATTTCCACAACACGCTACTCTAATGCTGTCAAACACAGCCATGTAGAGCACTGGATGGATGCACATGTTCAGCGTCGCTAGACCCTTTGACACCTGATACATTATGTAGAACCCGCAGGTAGAGTCATGAGGATTGTAGATTTTCTGGTAGAAGTGATAGATCTGAGAGAAGTGGTATGGTATGAAGGACACAGCATACAAGGCAATCACTGAAGTGACCAGCAGGGTTACCTTACGCCTCTCAATCACCGTCAAGCTGGCATTCTGCCACACCACACGGATCACCAGGCAGTAAGATGTGAAAGTTACCAGGAAGGGGACAAGGCACCCAAACACCGTGAGGAAAAGCTTGTGGGTGAAGTGAGGCATTGGGTCTTTTGAGTCGCAGAAGGACACACACACAGTGTTGCCTTTGTTGTTGGCATCAGGGCAAATGGAAGCAAATTTCCACACCGGGGAGGAGATGACTCCAACAGTGATCCAAATGATGACGCTGACGACTTTAGCATGAAAGGCCTCCACATACGAGCGTGCAAAGAAGGGCCACACGAGAGCCACACATCTGTTCACGCTGATTGCCATGACGAAGAAGATGCTCACGTACAAGTTGCATGTGAAGAGAAACCTCTCAGTTTTACACATGGCATCCCCGAACACCCACTCTTTTCTGTTGGAGTAGTAGACGATCAGCAGAGGCAGGGTGAGGATGTACAGCAGGTCGCTGATGGCCAGGTTACAGGACAGGACCACACCTGTGTGCCAGTTTCTTCTTTCTTTAGTGAACAGAAGCCACAAAGCAAACACGTTTCCAGCCAAAGCCACGACAAATTCAAGCCCGTACATGTACGGCAGCACGCCGATCTGAAAACCCTCACAGCTGGAGAAGTTGCTTGCCATCTTCCTTTCAGGTCGAAGTTATCCTCTTACTGAGCCGCGACCACAGGGATTATAATTTACTGTAGGTAAAGAAGTAGGATGATTATTCAACCATAAAAAATAAAAAAACACTGATTTACATATCATGGAAATGAGCAGAAGTAAAGAATCAATTACCGTCTTTGCAGATGTGCAGCTGAGCCCTGACATAAAGATAAGAATGATCCGCATCCTATCAAAAGGTATGACAAAAAGGCAAGAAGCGCCTCAATCACCACAACCATTTAAGCCCTATCGCAACAGGAGGCCTCAGATAAAACGCAAGCCACTTCCTCACGCCCACGCTTGTTACGAAATTTGCAGAAGGAAAAGTGTAACAGTCACACCAGTAGCATGCGTTTGCAAGGCATGCAATTTAAATAGTGTGTGGGTTATTTGCTAGATTTATTTGTATGTTAATAACTGTCACATTGTCCTTCGAATATTAACTCACCGGTGCACTGTGGTGATTTTTCACAAGCAGGGAAAGAAGGTCCAATGTTCAAAAACGTGTAAAATGTAATATTAAACCTCGTCCCCCTTAAACACGGGTCTGCAGGAAATGTGTTCCAGCTTGTGGTGGAATTCCTCTACCTCACTGCTTGTGAGTGCAGAAGGCAGGCATTAGACCGAACTCAGCAAGGGAGAAAGCTCCAGAAAACCCTCAAACATCCCGTCATCATGACTGGAGGGAGGGATAAAAAGTTGCTTTAATAAATGTAGACACCCTGAGTTCAGCTTAAATTATTTCAGTTGACATCTACTTTAAAATCAGATCCTCAGCTTATCTGGTGCCCTGATCTTTTAACTAAAGTGATGCAAGATCATGTTTTAAAAATAGGTCTAAAGTTCAGCGATGACCGTTCGAAGCTTGTTTCAACCAGAATGGAATTACTGCTTGACGCAGTCCTTACACAAATCTGAAGGCTTAGCCCAATCACTGGAATTGAAGATTCTTAAATGGTTTCAGTTAACCATCAACCACTAAATACCGCTTTTATTTTAAATCTGATGTCAGGAAACGTCTTCAGTGACTTTGTTTGATTCCCCCAATCGGAGGGCTTTTATTGGTGTAAGTTCAGCTGAAGCTTTGTTCTGCTTTTTTATCGTTTAGGTGACCAACATCCTTCCCTCTGGGCACACAAATGTTTACTTGTGCAACCACAAGTAAACAATGACATACAAAATAAAACAAAACCAACAATGAACATGGAGTGATATTTATACTCTGTGGCGGTCTTTCAGATAAAATCCTATTTAAATGCCAAGTTATGAGAGAGAAATGTTTTGGATAAATCACATTTTAGACATTTCTGAATGGGAAGAGGAGATAAAAGTTTAATCATGAAAACAACAAATACAAAAGACCATGCTTGTTATTATTTACAATGTTGGCTTTCCTTCTGTCCATTCATCCATATTAAATATACTCATGTTTTGCCACTTGAAGGAAGGAGAGCAGAGATTTGCTGCCACCTGCTGCCGCAGCTTGGTACTGCTCCCAGAGTCCAGATTCAGCGTTTTCCCTTCATCTTTGTTCCTGCACCTTTCTTCTTAAAGCCAGTCTTGCCTTTCTGGCCTTTGGATTTGAATGACTTGTCTTTGTGTTTCTTTCCATCAAACTTCCCCCCACCAAATTTATTTTCCCTTTTTCCAGCTTTCTGAAAGCCGAAAGCCTTTCCTGGAGGCAGCCTCTTCTTCCCAAAGGCTTTCTCTCCATCCTTAGATTTCTTCCATCCCTTTCCAGCGGGGTCTTTCCCTGTTCCGGCTCTCTTCTGTCCTCCTGCACTTTTCCTTTTTGGGGATTTGGAATCCATTCTTCTTGAAGATGTACCAGGAGACATTTTCCTCTTCTTGGCAGGTGTGTCAGGTTTTTCTGAGCGCCGCCGCCTCCTCTTGGCAGCAGGAAACATGTCTGCACAAAACGTTGTTTCGGTTAGTAACAAACTAGATACAGTACAGGGCAGCACAGGGCTCAGATTTTATTTCACCTTCATCTGGCTCTTCCCCCACAGCCTGTCTGTAGTACTCCACATCGTCATCAGACTCGACTTCAGCTGCCTGGTTCCCCTGCAGTCCTGGATCCTCCACCTCACTGTCCGACTCCGCCTCAGCTCGTTTTCTCTTGATGCCTTCCAGGGTCTTTTTCCTGACAGGAAAGGAGGAAAATAAACTTTAAGTTTCACACTTTAAGTAAAACATAAAAGCAAAAATGATGCCAAACCCAAATTACTTGTGTTCTTCCCGCTTCTCCTTCTTCCTAGCAATGTTCTGCTCTTGCTGCTTCCGACGTTCCTCCTTCTCCTTCAGCCGAGTCTCTTTCTTCTCAAGGATATTCTGTATTTCTTCTTCAGTCTTGGATACTAAAAGAATGATTGATAAAAATATTTCCAGTCAAGAGCAAGTTGAGCCACTCGTAGTTGAAACGAGACGCACACCAGATGAGTCAGTAAGCGTTTACTTTTAGAGAGAAATCACAGAAGTCATACAGCTTGAGTCATCATGGACACCTGGACATTTAAAGCGGGTAGACATCAGGAATGATGTGCACTCACCCATGGAGTGGTACATGATGTTTCCTTCACCCATTCCTTCCTGAATCTTTATCAGCTGCAGAGTCAAACGAGGCCCAATCTGAGAACGACACAAGGAAACATTCAGCTCGTACGCAAACGCCAGCCATGCTTTAAAAACAGTAAACGGCCTGAACACACTTCGGTTAAACGAACAGCGCTTTGTTGGGACGGCATGTTGCCTCTTCCCGAGTAGACCTGTGGCAGTTCGGTGATGTTGTCCTCTCCATCGGGCTCTGCTTCACTTTCTGAAAGGTTCGCTCCCCTGTGGGTTAATAGAGAACAACCAACCAGGTTAGGAAAAGATCTAAACTCGCGCGCGCGAACATTCATAAGAATGAGCCTCACTTCATCAGCAGCTCGCTGATGTCCTCAAACTTGTTCATGTTGGGCAACTTCTCCTGCATCAGCTTCTTGACTCCTCGGCTCATCCCAACTGGGACGACCTTCAGGCTGCTGCAGATTGGGAGCATAATCTCATCAGTGACCAACAGAAACTCACCTAAGACCAGCATGAAGTAAAAGGTTTGATGGCTCATCAGTGCGTTTACTTTGGACGCACATCATGGAACAGTCAAGCCATATTCTATCATCATCTGAGCTCATCACTTCAGATTTATGTTCTTAGAAATTACAACCTGCTCCAAAATGTAACTGGAGTTTAAAACATTTTTACTTACTAATGCCGAAACTGAATTTCCTGCGCTTCAGGGTCAAAATGAAGCAGCACACACCTCTTAATAAGGTTGAGGTTAATCTGGAAAAACAACAATGTTTCTCACTACAGCACATAGATAAGCAGCTACTGAAGAACAGCTGGTTAACCAAGAAATCAGAAAGCGTTTACTTTTGAAAAATCTTCATGTGCACTCAGACAACCAATGCTTTCATCACGGCAAGGTGTTTCTATAGTCAGCGATACGACGGCAACACAAGCTTTAGTCAACATACCGTTTGCACGTTTATAGAAGGAAACATGTTCTGGAACATGGTGGCCATGAGTTTGACGTGCATGCCATCCATTCCAAAGTTACTGAGGATGAGGAGAGGGTGGTGTGTGAACTGCTGCTCGTGCATCCTGTGCTTCTTCAGAGATGAAACGACATCTTTCACAAGAGAATACTGCAGGAAAAAGTATTGAAATGAATAAAAATTGGTTTAAAAAGATAACATGACTTCAGCAGCTCGGGGCCCATCAGTGCGTTTACTTTGAAAAGCATCACTTTACAATCAAGTTCTTAAATGTCATCAAATGAGCCGATAAAAGTCAAACGGGTTTTACTGCTGGGCTTAAATGTTTACCTTGAGGACTTTGAAATAAAGCGTGGGGCCTTTGGGAAGTCGAGCAATTCTCTGTAGAGAAAAAAACGGGTTGTGGAGATTAGAAATGTCTTAATTATTACAAAGCTGCATGCTTTAGTTTCAAAGTCTCACCATGTTGATGCTGTTGGGAGTTTTGCCGAAGATTATGAAGTGTGTCACCCCCAGCGGCCCCGCTACCGACACAAAGTCTTTCAGAACATTCTTCTTACGAACCTGTTAAAAATGTAAAGAAACGTAAGAAAGCATGTGAGTTGGTGACGAGATGCTAAGATTAGGGATGCAACAATACCACTTTTCCCCAAACCCATTGGATACTTGGATCTGAATACTTGCAGACACGGATACTTCCACCACACAAAAAATGCAATGAATTGGAATACAGGTTTTATTTTCTTCTCTGCTTTCAACAGGAAAAGACTGTGAGGTAGGGCTGGGCGATATGGCCTAAAATTAATATCACGATATATTGAGGATTTCACCTCGATAACGACAAATGGATGACAAGTACTGGTATGCGCAGGAACATCTTCCAACATGTGCGGACACGTGACAGACCTTCAGAGACTCTGCGGTGTAAGGCTGCATGACTCTCCTCATGTCCTGGATCAGCTGACCCACGTTTTTTCCAACCTGACCCCGGTGAAACACGAAGGAGTGGGGCACAGATCGGTAACTCTCATCGGCCACATGGTTGGCTAATGATCGGGATTTCTTCTGGTTTTTGGTCTGATTGAAGGAAAAAAGAACACAACCATAGGATTTGTTAGGTAAAAAACTGATTCCTTAACAATGCTCAAGAAACCTAACCACAGAGGAAACAAGGCTCAGCTACGGAGTTAAAGAATCGAATCACAAAGCGACGCAAAAACGGTTCACCACATGACTCATTTTAAATACCAGAAAGACCACACCAAGCTACAGTCCATCTATAAACGAACAACAAAAACCTCCATAACTAAACAACAAATAACTTTTATATCTACGCTCTAAGTGATTAGCAGCATTGTGCTAGCGACTAGCTACGTACCTTTGATTTCCCCATGATTTAACACGAGACGAAGCAAAGGAACAAGTCAAAAACCTACAAGAATCGTTGTACAAACAATTTTAAGCTACAATCATTCTCCCGGCAAAATGTATCTATCAAGTACTGCTGAACATTTAACTTCTAATTCGTTTCAACGTCTTCCACATGGTGTGGTGTCCCGTCAAAGTGTAACACATTAATGTGTCCGTGTTACTATAGCATTCCTTCGTCAGTTCCTAGCTGGTGGTTTAAACCACAGACGGGTTTAACCCTTAACCCGATGGTTTAACCACCAGGGGGGAAATAATACAGACGTAGTCTCTGTAGAAATGCTGAAATAAATGTTTGTAACTATCGATTTTTGACTAGGAAACAAGGAACAAATGTCTGGAAAAAATTGAGTACCATAACAAAAAATTTAAACAGCTGATTTGAAAAGGGAAAACATATAAGTGATCTTTTCACTTCAGTAAAGTTAGCAAGATATTCACAGATTCGATGTTTGTGGCTCAATACCTTCTGAACACGGGGGTATTTAGAAACATAACATACCTCTTTGGCAGTGGTGGATGTAGCAATTTGGGGGCCCAAGGCAAACACAAACATGGGGCCCCCTTACACAAAATTTTTGACAGTCTAATCTTTAACTGGATTTGCGAAACTCTCCCCTCTTCTGACATAAGTTATTTTCCCTTTTATAAGTCCTCCAGGTGTCGTTTCCTGTCTTTCTCTCCCTTTGAGTGCTTCAATATTTGCTCTGCTTTCTTCTTCCTGTCAGCGCTCCTGTGCTTTTGCCTTTCTTTTTTTGTCTGTTTTCCATTTTGGTCTATGCTTTCCTCCCTTTAAACATTTTCCACTGTCTTTCCTTTCTGCTTCCTTTTGATGTTTACATAGAAAAACGACGTCACTTTTGGAAATGAAGATTAAAGGTTTTGTTAAAGCAAGCTGCTGCTTTCTCTTATTGGAGCCACCAGGATAATTCCATTTCATGCTTAATGTTTTGACTACTGCTTCGAGTTTGTTACGAACGCTCCCGCCTCTCTTCTTCTTCTTAGTCAGCAGTTTGGTCAGCTTAAGCCTAACAAGGCAGCAGGCCCTGATGGTGTCCATCCACGCACCCTTAAAGTTTGTGCAGAGCAGCTTGCAGCTGTCTTCCACTACATTTTCATGTTGTCCTTGTCTGCTGCTAAAATACCTGTAATGTGGAAAACGTCTTGTCTTGTGCCGATCCCTAAGAAAACAGGTGTCAGCTGTACGTTGTCCAATCTTAGGCCTATTGCGTTGACATCACATTTAATGAAATGTTTTGAGAGAGTCGTCCTTAAATACCTAAGAGAACAGGTTGTTTCCTTCCAAGACCCCTTGCAATTTGCATATAGGAAGGGTGTGAGTGTGGATGATGCCCTTCTGTATCTGCTGGACATTATTTATAAACACCTTGAAAAAGCCAGCAGTTCAGTGCGACTTATGTTCTTTGATTTTTCTAGTGCTTTTAATACCATTCAGCCCCATATTTTAGGAAATAAGTTATTGGATTTTAAGCTGCACAATTCCACCACTGCCTGGATTTTAGACTAAAATCTAAGACTTAAACAGGCCTCAGTTTGTGAGGGTTGGGGGTAAGTGCTCGGACTTGATTTTTACGAACTCTGGTGCACCACAGGGGACAGTTTTATCTCCTTTTTTATTTACACTGTATACAGCTGACTATAGGCACAGTTTACCATCTGGTCACTTACAGAAGTTCTCTGATGACACTGCCCTACTGGGCCTGATCTCCCGGGGTGACGACCTGGCTTACAGGGAGGAAGTTAACTCCTTTGTTGGATGGTGTGATGCAAATTTTCTACAACTCAATGTTGGCAAAACACAAGAGCTGGTTATTGATTTTAGAAAGAAAAAACAAACATTCTCTCCAGTGGTCATCAAAGGCCAACCTGTAGAAACTGTGGAGACATAAATATCTCGGGGTGTACCTCGACGATAAGTTAAACTGGAAAAGGAACAGTGACGCTGTTGTTAAAAAGGCCCAGTCCAGACTGTTTTTCTTAGGAAGCTAAGATCCTTTGATATAAGTAGGAGGCTCTTGAATGTGTTTTATCAGGGGATTATGGCCAGTGTGTTGTTTTATGCTGTGTTGTGTTGGGGCAGGAGCCTCACTGCTGAGGACAAAAACAGGATCAACAAAATGATCAAGAAATCTGGCTCAGTGGTTGGGCAAGGCTTGGACTCATTTGACATGATCATCGACAAAAGGATGAAGAGTAAACTTAAGACAGTTATGACTCTGGAGGATCACTCCCTTCACCAGATTTTTAAGGATCTCGGGAGCTCTTTCAGTGGGCGAATGTTAATGCCCCGGTGCTCCACTGGACGTTTTAGGAACTCTTTTATTCCAGCTGCAGTGCGTTTTTACAATGAGCATTTCGTATGATTGTATATTTGATATTTTTATCATGATTGTGGCTTATAGCAGTGACCAGTGAATGTTTTATTGTGTGGATGTGCATGTTGTTTTTACTTGTCCAAGGCAATTCAATTCCCCCCTTGGGGATTAATAAAGACAACCTTAATAAAGACAACCTTACAATATTTGTGGTCTTATGGCACTTGGCAAACAACAATTTGGTGCATTACTGCCACCAACTGGATTGGAGTGGAATGACTACCAATCACTTCCTGTTTGTGCATCGGTGTCTTAAAGGAATACTCCATTGTGGCATTGACAGAGGGGTGCCAGCAGTCAGGGCTAGGGGGCCCCCCAACATAAGGGGGCCCCTGGCGGCCGAGACCTATGCCTAATGGTAAAACCGCCACTGGTGTTCAGAAGGTATTGAGACGCAAAAGTCGAATCTGTGAATATCTTGCTAACTTTACTGAAGTTAATGACTCTCAGTAATAATAAATAAAAATGCAAATGGCTTTCAAAGTGCTTTACTCTATGGCCACAGACATGTGTACATGTTCATGTCTATGACTACGGCAGTTCCAGGCTCCAGCCAGCGTCAGCGTTAGCCACGTGGTGTCTCTTGCATTACATTGGATTGGCATGCGGCCAGGTGACGTCACAAAGCTTGCTTGCTGAATTCCACTCAGACACATTAGTCAGTGACCGGTTGAGCTGAAAGAAGCCATTACTTCGACAAATATTCTGTCTTCTGAGTTTAAAGAACATTTAAAACTGAGTTCAGATATGGAAAATACTTTTAAATTCCAAAAGGGCGTCTATCTTTGGAGCAGAATAACTTTATATCACATCGACAAAATTCTCAAACAACGCAATTTTGGACACTTGGTTCAGTGTACTGATACTCAGACTGGTGAAACATTTGCTGTTAAATGTATCCGAAAAAAGTTTGCAGAGAAATACAGACAAGAAGCCAACATCTTACATCATGTTTCAAACCTGGAATCAGACGAAAATCATTTGGTGATGTTTAGAGAAAGCTTTTCTTATCAGGAATGGTACTTTTTAGTCTTTGGGAAACTGGACATGACATTAATGGACTACATGAGAAAAAGAGATGGTAACCTTTGAGTTTAAACAAAATTAGGATTATTGCTCATCAGATGCTTTTAGCCTTGGATTCCTTGAAACAACCTGACGTAACTCACTCTAAAGTTACTCCAGAAAACATTATGTTAGTTGACCACGAATTACAGCCGTTTAGCGTTAAGCTAATTGGCTTTGGGAACGCGGCTTCAACATCTCTATCACAACAGGATATTCCACAAGCCTGTGGCTACAGCCCTCTGGAAGTTTTCTTAGACAGTCAGGATGAAAGCGTTGATGTGCGGATACTTGCCTGTACGCTGGCTTTCTTGTATCTGGGTTTTCCACTATTCCCAACTTGTAATGAGTACTTTTATGTAAAAACTATAGTACGGCTGTTGGGTATGCCCGATGACAGTTTATTGAATGGGGTGGAGGACTCAACACTTTTTTAATCCTGCATTTTCTTGGACTTTTAAATCATTTGATGATTATTTAGAAGCAACGGGAAAGCCATTTGACAGAAATTCTGAAGAGTATGAAGATTTACTCTCTCTGAATCATTTACTGAATTCAGGACCAAGGGAGCAAAGCTTTATTGAGCTAGAAGACAAGAAGGCTTTTATAGACCTGTTAAAAGCAATGTTACGACTGAATCCTGACAGGATCCTTCCAGCAGAAGCTCTGGAACATAGATTTATTACCATGGAGCACCATGCCAGTAGTAAATGCAAATATGTTTCTATTGCCCATGGATTAACAGAAGGGGGTAAGAATCTGTACAAAAACTAAGAGACAGAGCACGACTTAAAAAACTCAGAGATGGTAAATCAGGATTTGTCGGATGAACAAGCAGAAAGAACTATACCGTTAAAGAAGGGTGATGTTATTCGAAGGTCATCAGCTGTTTACTGTGTGGAAAAACAGCTCGGATCAGGAAGTTTTGGAGGGGTTGTAATGTGTAAAGTCTAAGGAACAGATGAACGAGTCGCAATAAAGATAATTTTAAACGAGGAAAATGCGACACATGAACTGGACGCAATGAAATACCTGATGAATCTTGACTCTACGCAAAATTATATACCCAAGTTAATAGAAGCATTTCAACATAACAATATGTTTTGCTTTGTGTACGAACTGTAGCTTCCGGAAATGGTCTGTTTTTCAATCTACAGGTCACCTCTTCAGTATCGGTCATTTGGAGACATAAGTCTCCAACTGGAGCTCTGATCTACACAAGAGACTGTTGCTTCAAGGCCCTTCCAGGCTCACTCTTATCTAAGACTGGTATTTATTCACAGCACAAGACAGAAGAACTTTTAAAACTTATAAGTTAAACAATCATTAAATAAACGTTTGTTTATATTCACATATAACAATTAGAATATTATGAAATGCTTTCAGTAATCTGTGCTTGAATGACTGAAGTTTGAAATGAATGTTATATTATTACATTGATTTATATGTGGATCAGTAGCGTTGATATGACAAGGCCATCACCATCTACACCAGACACAAAGACAAATTAAAGTTAAGTTAAACCCATGGCACATAGATTTTCTTTACCCCAGATCAGAGCATCCGGTATCTCAAGGAGGCGTGTGTTCTGGGGTTGTCTTGGTAATATTCCTTAACATGGCACGCTCCGATTGGCCACACATATCATAACATGAGAATATTAAAACAGAATCACTCTGGTGATTCAGCAGTTGCAATCAGTCAGTCAGTCG